CAAATCTTCTTTCACCCCTTCTGCATATTTAACGGGAGTTTTTCCAGAGCCGTCCATGACAGAACAACCTACCGAGTTCTCAGCAGACAGGACGGACAGACAGCCGCTGCTCTCCCCGGGCACTGACAATGTCCGCCTGTTTGATAAGTGAGAGTCTGAGGAGGGGTTAGGCACGTGCTTTCAGGAGTGTCCTCCAAAGAAAACCACCTCGTGCAGCAGTTTGGGGCGTCACTATCATTGAGTAAACCCGATGGTGCATTCAAGTTCACATTATGAGGATCAGTTTACCTAAGTACTAGTGCAAACTTGATGCACTTGGACCATACCTGAGTATTTTATTCAATGTTACTGCTCGGCTTTACATTTTGGAGTCAAATATTGTATATTTTTACTACACTGCATCTGTTTTATAGCTTTGGTTGTTTTTTGTTGCAAATTTGGCTTTTTTATCCTAAATATAAATCAAGTAATACATGACGACATATTATTATAAATTAAGCTTCCCGGCAGTATAGTAACCAGAATCAGCCCCACCTTTACCAACTGCAACAGTAAAGTGATGTACACATTCATGCATCACTGATTATAATCCAGTCATATATACAATTCTGAAATGGGCCATTCTGCATAAAGAGTGCCTTTGGTATTTCTTTAATATTTCGATGCTCATACTTAAAGCATGTTCAGTGCCTTTACTTGCAGCAGTATTGTACTTTGCACACTACTTTTACTTAGATAATGTATATAACTTTAGTTACACAAGTTTGTGTGCCTCCTGTGCATGCAACAGCAGGCATGTGCTATTGCCCTAGGCCATGCCTTTCATGTAATATTACAAATGGTTCGACTTTATCCCTAGTATCAAATATCAATGGTATTTGTAAATGATAGTAAAACATTCATGGGTTAGGGCTAGGTTTATTTTCAGGAAATGAAAAGGTTCAAAAAGGTTTGAACTAGCTTATCGTGGAACATCCAAACTATTCTGGTCCCAGTTTGTCAGGCTTCACTTCACTTCAAGCTTAATCAGTGAAAGCTGTTTCTCTTTACAGCTGTAGTATGAACATAAGTCAGAATGCAACACGTCAAATAATCACAAATTGACACACACAATGAAGTTATGTGCACATTTAATAATAATAATAATAATGCAAATGTCTATATATATGCTACTTGAGTAACGAGTACTCAAATTAGAATAAAGCTGTTAAATGCTGTAGACACATGGCTCTGACAGCAGCAGCGTCATCATTTGCTTTCTCTCTAAATGTCATGTAAATAAAATAGATAAAAAATAAAACATCCAAAAACAATTTCATAAGGACAATACAGAAACCAGTCTGAGCGTATTTGAACAATATTTTCACCACGTTGAGAGTTTTGCGTCACTTGTACAGACCAAGCAGCATAATCCAACTGACAGACGACTTAAATTGCTAGAAAATGCAAATTATGTTACATAACCTGTCTAATGTCCTTTCTACGTGACACTTCAGAGTCAGTGTCTTGTATCTGGCACATGTAAGATTAATTTTCAACAGTATTGACACACTGTAAAAAAAAAAATGTGCTCATTCAACTTAAAATAATTTGTAACCTGTCTGCCTTAAAATTTTAAATTGGACAACAATTTAAGGCTTAAATTGTTTAGTTTGGCAAACTTAGTAACTTAAGTTGCTTTAACATATATCTGAGTTTCTTAAACTTAGAATAAATAGTTGGGGAGACAAAGGTGAAGCTGTCAATAAGTCCAATCAACTTTAGATTTTAAGTTTAATCAAGTTTTTTTTTATTGTGATACCAACAAGATATTTCAAGTTGTACAAACCTAAATCCTAGTTTAGACAACATAAGATGACCAGTAAAACCAACAAACTTGGAACGATATCTTGAGTTGTACAAACCTAACAAAAAACTAAGCATGTTGTACAATTAACTTAGAATTTCTTGTTGTGTAAACATAGTAATAAAACTGCTGAATTAACTTATTTTTTAAGGCAGCCAGGTTACTTTTTCCAGGAATAGTTCATCTAAGTTGCAATGTTAAGTTCATTAATTGAACTGCATCTTTTTCCCACACAACTTAAATCTATAGTACAACATAAAAACTATTCTTCAACATCAAAGACCATTCAGAATGCCATTTTATTGAATTTCAAAACGGGGTGGCCTTTTTTTGTCAGATATTTAACATGTTTAGCTGTTAACATTTACATAATAAAACTGTAAAATCTTAATATTACAGTTTACCATGCAAGAATTTTTATGGTATAAAGGTAGGTGTGAAACAAAAGCTAAATGCTTTGAAAAAAAAAAAGGTTTTTGCAATTTCACTGCAATTCAAGTAGATCTTGAGTATGTCTTGATTGAACAAATACTACATACGTTCTACAACAGACAATATTGCACATTTACAACAAGTATATAGGCCTTTTTCTTTTGTGTTGACTCTTCTTAACATGTGATGGAGCTGGCCAACTTGTCACTACACTTGCCCTTGAAGCAGTTTGTTTCGATTCCATTAATTTTGGGCGAACAGTTGCCACTTCCAGTGCCCATGAAAACTTTCTGTATGAGTTTGAAAGTATTTCAGTCCTTTGGGGTAGTCTATGTTGAAACAATAAAGCAGACCCATCATTGTCGCGAAGTCATTAGCAACATCTCTTAGATCTTGCAGAATAATTTTCTCCTCCAGGACAACAGCAACATCAACAGCCTCTTTTGCCAGCAACTCCTGCTTGCTTCCGCCTTCCTCTGAAACAATCAGAAGCCCAATGTCCACTCCTTTTGTGACCTCCTCTTCTGATATGCCAGGCTAAAGCACATAATAAAGCATATGCCATCAATTTACCAATTCACTTTTTGAATTTGGTAAATGTGTATAAATGTATACATTTATTTGCATAATGTATTTAGTCAAGATAATTTTAACAGAAAAAAACATGGAGTCTCAGGTCTGTGATTTTTTATTTTGTAGATATAAAAGTTTAAGCCATTTTCAGGTGATTATACATATTGTAAATAAAGCATGCCCATGTCAATTCTGACAACACTGGGGTTGCTGCTGTGTCACTTAGCGACAAATTAAACTGTGGTTTAGAACAGATTTACAATCTGGTACATGCTAAATGGGACATGGCTGCTCTGTCAAAATGACACTTTAAGACGTTTAACTGTTTACATGACATTGTAACATTATAAAGCCTCATATGTCACAACACAATAGTAAAAATTCTTTACTTTCCTTACTTGTATGTCAAGGGGCTGAAGCAGTGTACGCAGGTCTGCACTGGTGCTACTTCGCTCTGTACATTTTGAGCAGGCTCGGGACATATTTGTCCAGTCCATCAAAGAAAGAGTTCAGTCGAAACCAGTCGCATAAACTCTGCACTGATCTGTAAGGACAAAAACAATTATGAGTCGTATCAGTGGTTTCCTTACAACATAAAATACATTGAGAGCAAAGAGGTCAGCTTTGGCTCTCACAGGCCAAAAACTCAAATCTAGCAAATCCTGATTAGTTTAACTTTTAATATTTTCTGAAAGCATGATGTTTCTAACAACAAAAAATTGTAATGGTTTCTCTTTACTGTGGGTGTGATTCAAGACTACTTCCTCCTCCTGGTATAGCATATAATGTGTATGTATGTTTCCTGTGGAGACATCGCAAAGGTATGATGACAGACGTAATAAAAATAAACCCGCCTGTCGGGGCACACTTCTACATTCATCACTTTCCACTGGCTTATGTAGCAGGATGTGGGATGAAATCAAAAAGAGTGAGACATCATCTTTCTAGTGTATCTCATTTGTCTTTAGCACTGATACTGGACAACTGAATAAGCTTAATGATTTGGACATAAATTGTGTACTGTAAACTCATTCAACCATACCAGGCTGAAAATAAATGATGTGCACTGTCTAGCTATAACATGGCTCATGACTTACGTGCAAAAAATAATTGTCTGTTCTTAAAATCATACACTATGGAAGCCCTAAGAAGTCATGCAGTCAAACATTTTATTTTCTTCGTTTTCTTGTGATTAGGAATTAATTTCATTTGTTTTCTCGAGATAACGGGATAATTGTCCAGCGATCTTGGGATAATAAGACTTTGCTTTTCTGGTGTTATACTTTGCTGCTTGGCTGCCAGACTTTGAAACACTGTAGCCTTTTATTTAAGTGTGTATTGCAACATACTGTACATTTCTTTCTAACTGAACTCCTACTGCTAACCTGCTCTGTTGCTTCGCCATACACACACATTCACTCCACAGTCTCAGGCCTATTATATCTGATTTGTTATCTCGAGATCTCAAATTAATTATCTTGTTATTTTAGGAAAACAAAGTCAAATGTATGAATGCATGACTGCTTACGGCTTCCGTAACACACTCAGATATGATGCACAAAATCCATAGTTGAGCTACTGTTATTACTACTGTTCATGTTACTAACTACAGCAACTAAAAATTACACACATTCTGAAGTTCACCGTAAAAAATCTTATGTTACTAAAAACAGCTGCTGCCAGGTTTAATTTGACAATCTAGTGTAACATTTATCTAATTTATCTATCTAACAATACTTAACCAAGCATTAAACAAGCATTTTGATAATACAAGCAGGCTAAAAGTGTGTTCTTACCTTGATCCTCCTCCTCCTGATCCGAAAAGTACGTTTATTGTGGCACATGGAGGTGTATAGCCCTTGTTGGCTGTGTGGGGTTGCATATGCACTTTTGCAGGGGCCACACGTACATAAGTTGAGTCAACTAAGAAATGTATGTTGCCTGAACAACTCTGATTGAACTGATTAGTTGGGCGCAGAAAAACTTGATATTTCAAGTACACTACACATTTTAATTGAACTGATTAAAGGAAATGAGCTGAGGCAACTAAAACCTCATATCCTTTTTTACAGTGCAGAGAGAGATGACGTAGAAGGAAGGCAGAAACTGAGTCAACAGTGGAGTTAAATGACACAGAGGTCATCTCGTCTCAAATTTTTTGGTTTAGTTTAATATAGTGGTTTTGTACAATATTTCATCCATTGCATTATACTTTTATTATGTTTATTCTTTGGCAATTATGCTGTGTTCTCTTCACATCTCTGTTTTCTTTATTATGGTGAAAGGATTTACACTTTAGCTGATTTTACAAATCAGGCTTTTCCCAATTAGCCTTCTTTAAGAAACACGTTTATGATGTTTTGGCAGAAAAGCTCAGTTTAAAGTGTTGAGGCTGAAATGCCTTGCTCATACTCAGAGTAACACATAACTCAAAGGAACATTGACTTTGACAAGCTTTACATTACACATCCAATTTAACTGTTTAAATGACATTATATAAACTTACAAAAAACAAATAGTTGTGAGATCTTCAGATACGATATAAAAACAAAAGCAACACCAAAACATATTTTTCACTTTGATTTATACAAAAATATTATATCATTCTTACTAATTATAAGATGTTTCTGATATATGCAGCAAAACTAAATGCAGCCTTTACACATTTGTATTTAAATCTTAAATCAATCAGCTGCCCAGTATGTCTTGTGGTAGCTTTTAAAATGTAAGTCTTAGGTCATAACTGCAACAAGATTTCTGATTTAGGTTTTAGTGACAGAGACTTCAGATGAGTACTGATACTCAGTCCTTCTTCTTTGGGACCAAAGACTATTATTTTAGTACAGATAAGTACATTTGGGGTCATCATAATTATGATAAAGAATGTTTTTTACTAAACTTTAGTTGACTTAAGTGGAACAGTAATTGCTCCCTGAGGAACTCCACCCATTCACTCAGATTTGTGCTGATTTTAACTACAAGGTTTATTGTATAAAGCCTTTCATGGCCCCTGAGGGAACTGCATGAAATCTAATATACTGCCTCAAGTGATCGAGGCAGTGACGGTTGGGGCTGAAGACTACAAGTTTGAAAATTAAAAAAATGCTGTGGTTTTAGGAAGAAGTGGGCTTACTAGATCGAGGCTTCCGTGTAACTAGCATGTAACACACCCAAATCTCGGCAACCCCTTTGTCAGTGGTCGACTTGCATTGTGGGTGATATCAATCAATAGTTAACAGATTGTACATAAAACTGCTTTAAGCAGAACAGTTTGTATGGCTAACATAAAGAAAAAAAAAAGACGGATGTAACTCAAGCATTCAGAGCAACATGTGCATACCATGCTGCAAGTCCACAATTTGCATGCATTTTGTCCCTGGTTTGGTCTGCTAGCTTAAAAAAAAATATAGTTCTCTTTGGCTTTTTGACTTGTCACAAGTCACCTACTGTGGCTTCCCATCATTTGCATTGTAGCAGAAAAGTGCGAATGTGAGGGGGTCACTGAGAGCCAGAGTTAGACAGACCAGCAAGCCAATACATAAGGCTGAGAGTGACTGGAAGCTGCACAGACTGGGAAGGTGAATCTCTTTGACACTCAGTCCTTTGCAGCCCTTTGACATTCAGTGTTAACAATATTTCCGAGCCATTAGGATGAGTCATTTCAGCAGTTTAACCAGCAAGTTGCTGGTTACAGTTCCAGCAACGAGGATGCAGATCATGATAAGTAACGTCAGGCCACGCCGTAAAAGCAGCTGCTTTACTGACAGAACATCTCCCACTGTAGTGGTAGTGGACTGTAGTGGACTGTGGCCTGAATCATGCACTCGCAGGTCTGCGTCATCCTCCTCAGCATTCACAGAGCTGGAAAGAGTAGTACTGACCTGGCCCTGGCTCCGGCTCCGATTCGAGTCTAGAGGTTTGAATTTGAGAAGGAATGTCTACTATTAACACAAAACCGTCATGCAAGACTTAAAGCAGGGATGTTTCACATAATCATAGAGAATGTGGAAAGTGAAGGAAGTGCCTGAACTTACCAGTGTGTTCCAGCTCAACCATTTCTTTTTCTTTTGTGATTTGGACTCCTGCTCTCACAAGGGCCTGATCAGGGACATTAAGAACAGTTGCTGATAGGTGTTTTAACTTCAGATACATCTTAAGACAACAGGATTTAGCTACCCACCTCTTTAGCAGTCTTTTTCCAATCAAGTTTGCACAAAATTGTGATAAAAACAATCGCCTGCAATGACACACAAATGGTAAGTCCCATCCACAGTCCTACACAGAAATGGGAGAAGAGTTTTAATGTCTTTTCTTAATGTAAGTTGACAAGGAGGGGGGCACAAGACATGGTAATGCATTTTATGAGTTTGGTCTTACCTACAATCCCCATGTTGGCTGCAAACATCAGGGACACACCAATGGGGAAGCCAATGAAGTAAAATCCGACCAGGTTACACAGAGCACCAATCAACTGTTTTCCTGCTCCTCTGAGAACACCTGCAGCCACGCCCTGATCATATCAAATACAGATTGGGTCAAATCACATCTTATGCCAAAATGTATTAAAACTCTTTATGGATTACATGCATGGAAAAGTTGACTGTGCATTGCTTCTCACCGCAGTGGCATCACCAACATGCATGAAACCAAATATGAGCATGACATCAGCAACTCTCTGAATAATGTCTCTAAAAAAGATGCAAACAGAGATTCTTGTTAGATAAAAAAATGTATACTGACTATCACACCTGAAATATAACATTAAAATACTAAGAGATTGCTGAAACTAAAATTGCATGTGAATAAGATGTTGTAATCATCGACTTTGTCTTTAATCAGCAGAGCGTATATGGTGCTCAGATTCAGGATCTAGTTGGCAGACTGGCGGAAAATGGGATGAGCAGCTTTCATCATAGTGTGAAGTTTACATACAAAAGTCTAGATGACATTTAAAAAATTTCTGTCAGTGCAAGGAAGTGAAGGATACTGTGTCACAGACTTTACTCACTGCTCTGAGGTGAAAATGTATCCAATAACTCCTCTGGCGATGCCGAGACTAGCTCCAACAACACATGCAACAATGACTGTTTGGGAACAATAACAAAAGAATTGAACTGTTGAAATTTCAAAGAGAAAGAAAGAGTGACCACAAGAGCCTGTGTTTCAGATACTACTGTATTTCTATTTATAGGGTTAAAAGGTGATTTTTTTATGTTTATGTGACACTTGGTCCAATATATCAAATATTTTCTAAATATAATAGTTCATATATCACTGGCCCAAGTAAAATGTGTGTTCTCGTTACTTTGATGACTTTCTGTAGTTCTAATGCCGGCAACTTGCATTGATTCTTACATGCACACACAATGGGGACTTTGCAAGATAGCTTGGCCTGCTCTGTGTTTCCTGCACCAAGAGCATTCCCGACCCGGACACTGGCAGCAACAGAGAATCCTAGTGGGAACTGTGAAAGAAAGAAAATTACTTAATGATATCGATTATTTTTGCATAAATACACTATTTTAGGTGATATTTGAAACAAATATCTACATTAAAGGAACATTAACTAAATCCTCCAGCCAGCCCCTCTAAAACTCACTAGTTAACACGTTATAACTTGTTTGTTTAATCTGCACAAAAACCAAAGTGTAATTTAGCATTTTTCATATTTATTACAGCTGTTATAGTCATCTAAAGATTGACTGTTATAGTACACTAACAATTAAGCTCTAACACATAATTATGATGATGCAAGAGTCACATGACCCCCAACTCCAGAGGAGTGTAAAGTGTAAAAATAACATGTTGTGGTTTTATGGGGGGTCATGTTCATATGTTTGTGTAACCTTTTATGAGCCAAAATTGAGATTATTATTTTCTCCGTTCCTTTTTCTGTGCTGTAGCATTACATTTAACAATTATATTGCATGGATATTTGCCCCTGGCCTTTTCATGACTGTCAAACTGCTGCATCAGAATCATCTTTATTGGCCAAGTATGTGTAAAAACACAAGGAATTTGACTCTGAATGTATAAGTTGTCCTCAGTCTACTTACACAAAGAACAAATTACAGGAAGATACAAATAGACATTCAGCTATAGTTGGGTCAAACTAAACATAGAATGACCATTAAAATGCAATTATACTGTCACAAAAGATTTTTAAACCCATGTTTAAACTTGAAGGAAGGAAAACCTATTTTCTTTATCTGCTTCTGACTATCAGCTATGGGTCCTGCATTAACACAGAGTTTTCTGTCAAAATGTAACGGTTATTTCACATGCATTTCTGAGTTTTTCCAATTGGTTTAAAGTGGGCGCAGTTGGACAAAGCTGATCACACATATTTCTGTGCACTAATCAGAATCCAAATCTGATGCCAGTTGGTGGGTTGTTTGTTGCATATTTTTTTAAATATTGCAGTTCATCCCAAAAGAAAAGTGATGATTGTTTCATGGGAGCAATAACCAACACACTATTAGCATGTCTAATTGCAAGAGGAGTTACCATATATGCTACAATGCACAGCTGGTATGCTATGGACTGAGCTCCCAGCTCAACCTCACTTATCAATCCAGCCAGGAATCCTCCTATTTCAAATATCCACCATGACAGACAAATCATGAGCATGCTGGGAATGGCCAGTTTGACAAAGGGACCCCACTCCTGCAGACAGTCGAGTGACCAACCTGTGGGTCAAATGTGTGTAAGGTAAATTTATCAAAAAATGACACACTGGAATGCTTATAAAAAATAATATTACTGCACTGTAAGAGATAGGAATGATGAATCATGATTATAAAGTATTGGACAGTACAACAGAATTATTGTAGCTGAGTTTAGAATGAAAAAACATTTAAACATCAAACTCATGTCATGGTCAAAATCGGGCAAAAAAAACTCACCTCCCCATGTGGCCTTGTGCAGACCCTTCCAGCAGATGTAAACATATAGGAACAAAGCCAGCAAATACTGTGAGATCACATTGGCTACAGCTGATCCACTTCAGTAGTATCGGGGAGAACCAGCAGGTTTTAGAACCAGAGTAGAAAAAAAAGAAGATATAACTATTTTGTTTAGAAATATCAACATTTAGGATATTACATATTTATTACAGCTGTTATAATCATCTAAACATTGACTGTTATAGTACACTAACAATTAAGCTCTAACACATAATGTTTCCTGCACCAAGAGCATTCCCGACCCGGACACTGGCAGCAACAGAGAATCCTAGTGGGAACTGTGAAAGAAAATTACTTAATGATATAGATTATTTATAAATAATAAACAAATATCTACATTAAAGGGACAGGGAAATCCACCAACCAGCCCCTCTAAAACTCACTAATTAACACGTTCTAACTCGTTCCTTTAATCTGTACAAAAACCAAAGTGTAATTTAGCATTTTTCATATTTTTTACAGCTGTTATAATCATCAGCACAGTGATAATGCTTGTCTGAAAGATCTAAAGATTGACTGTTATAGTACACTAACAATTAAGCTCTAACAAATAATTATGATGATGCAAAACTTACGCGACCCCCAACTCCAGAGGATAAAGGAGGATGTAGTTGATGAGTGCATTGAAGACATTTCCAATGCCTCCAGTTAAGACCTGAGGCCACATAATTCCCTGTAAACCACAGCAGAACCTATTGTTAGTCTTAATGTTAGTTGTAATAACTGTGCTTCAGCCAATATTTAACATCTGTAGCTTTGCACCTGATTTTGAAGATACTTCCCTTGCAACTGGTACATAAAAGCTGCCTGCAGAAGGAAAACAGACACAAGTGAAATTTCAGCAGTGTTAATTTGGCACAGCAAAGGAGCCAATCTGATCTTGAGAGTAATGATTAAGTAAAATTTGACTAAAATATTCATCAGAATCAGATAGTCAATAAGTTATCACAATCTGTCGAATGTAGAGCCAGGATATAAGACAACATACAGTGATAGAATAAAGATTAGTTTCTTATAAGTTTGGCTAACCCTTAAATAGTTAGTGGTGTATCATGTGCCATTGTTGCAGATTATTGAACAGGACTGCTTTAAGGTAAAATTGGAGCAGTGTGCTAAAATACATTGATTTGTAAGGTATTTGCTTCACAGGATTAACCAAAAACAGACCCATTTGGTTAATGTAGAAATTACAGTAATTGTCCGATATTATTTCTCATTAGTTTGATCATGCGATCTCTATAAACCCAATCAGAAGAGCCGTTGAGCTGACGCATTCATTTCATTCCACAGGAAAGTTATTCAATCTTTGACACAAATAGATTTACTTTGGTGGGCAGCCTGGTATATTAATGGTCAGGGACTTGATGTCGTATTTTGCAGAGAAACAGAGAGAGAGAGAAAGAGACGTTATTTGGTGGAGGTATTACAAGCACAGAGCAGGTAAATCAACAGTTTTAAATATGCGTCGCCCATTAACTCCTCACAAAATATGTGATCCGTGTATGGTATGTTGTAACTGTTTGATTTCAGCACTAGAGTGACAGCAGGGGATATTAAGAAGTGACTTTTTTTAGTTTACAACATCATAATACAGAAATAACAAAACTTAAATTCTCCTTAGTGAAGCAATGCAGTTTAGCTCCCAGCAATTGTTCAAGCAATGCAGTTTAGCTTTCAGCTGACACTGTTGTGCACTCTTTTTCAACTATTCATACTCAACTTTTATCTACTCAATCATACTTTAAGCTAGAAAGTCCATTTAAACTTTATTGAGCAAGCTGGGCAAAGCCTACATTTCCAAGTACACTTGGATCAACTCCTTGCTAGTATTTTGTCAGTAAGATCACTATTGCAAAGCCCGATCTTAGTACACCCCATTATGACCTTACACAGCTAGTCATGCACAGGACTTTGAGATTTTGGAAAATGTCATGAAACCCTTCTGTCAGTACCCAATGTCCAGTTGGTTAATAAATTGTCCAGACGTTATAACTTAAATTAACTGACAAATTAACAATTTTTAACTGTGGACTATACATGTGCACTTTCAGGATCTCACATTAAGTGAAACTGTGCGACCAAATGTATGTACTGTATGTTTGTAGGTACCACTGGAGCTCTGTGTCTCAAACAGTTGCACCTTTCCTCCAAACACTTCTTGTAACTGTAACCTGATTAGGGATGGGACGATACATAATGTTATTGCTATAAAAGACACCAAAATAAATTTTATGTTTTGAATTTCCATTATCGTGATAATTGTGAATATCCTCACATGGCTTGACTTGAAAAAGCTGTTTAGCTCTCCAGCATAAAATCTACTGCTTTCCTGATTTCTTTTGAACAAGGGGACAAACAGGAGCCAACATCTTTACAGTCATTCCAAAATCCTAAGCCTGTCACCATGGCTAAAGGCTCGGCTTGCCGTTTTATCCCCCCCAAAAAAGATTCTAAAATAAAGAAGGAGATGAGCTGTCCTGTCTGTGATGCAATAAACATGTGTTGTTTTTTTTAACAAAATGTAAGGTGCCAGTATGTTTTAGTTCTATTTCAAAAGTAATAAGCATATTTACATGATTATCATGATAATATTGTATACTGCAACTGCAACACGGGACTGCTTTGTCAATGTACACATGTGTTGATGTGATCTTGCAAATAGTTTGATTACACACAATGACCGGCAACATGCACATGCAATGGGTTCCCCATTCAGCAAACTCAGTTTGTGTAATGTGACGTAACTGCAGATGTCCTTTTCCATTCTTACGGTTCCAGCTGCTGTGAAGCCAGCGAGTTTAAGGTAGTCATGAAGGAAAACTCACCGGCAGAGCAGGCATGAAGATCTTCACATACAGCTGGGAGAGACTTCATGACAAAAAGACAAACAATGTGTATGTGAAAAACATGTAGAACTGATCCTGTATATAATGGATCTGTAACATATGAAGTTATTGGTAAATAGTAGAGGTTTCTGTACAGCAGGCTAAAATCCCCACATGTGATTAAGACGAGTCAGTACTGCTGCTTCTGATCTAGCCGTTAGCAACGCAGTCACTGACTCCATCCTCAACTCCTATGTACACTCCATCTCTATATAAAAATACACCACTGGGACTGACCTGGCCACCTCTGGGCTCTGTTTCACAGCGAGCAGGAGGGGTTCAGTGTTGATGAGGATGGCCCAGCAGGGGAAACAGGCCAGCAGCAGAATCAGAATCCCCCTCTGGAGAATCACACCAACACGCTTCAAGTTACCGCTCCCATACGTCTGCATGAAAGAGGCAGATAAATAAGTGGAGTTAAACAACACTGATCACACTACTAAGCAAAGGTGTGAATAGGCCAAGAAAACAAACTTGATACAAAAGCTCATTGTTGAGCTGCTTTTAAGGGGAAAGAACACCCTTCGGTGAGGACACTACCTGAGATATGAGGGTATCACACGTTGATGACAAACCAGTGCCAATGGAAATACCAGTGACATTAACCACCTGCAACTGACCACAACATTATCAATCAATACAAATTCAAAGGTATGATTTTATATGGAAAAACCAGCAAACAGGCTGGGATGCCAGTATAAACACAGGCATGGCTCCAAAGCATTTCTCCTCACCGCAGCTGCTAAAGATACTCCTGCAAGTTCTGTTTTCCCCAGGTGACCACAGAACACCATGCTGACGACACCGATCATGAAGACCATCAACTGGGAAATGACCTGGAAGTAATAGAAAATAAATAAAATGTTTAGTTGAAACATAAGTTGTCAATGAAACTTCAAATCACACTGTGTGAACGCCTGTGGCAGATCTCATCTTATACACAATTAACATGCAGTTGTTAGATGTTAGTTTGAAGGTGGTAAAGCTAAATGGTACTACTTTTAATACCTTTACTGCTATATACCATAAATCATGAGGATTGGTGATTATGTGATGCATTGAGGGCTTCTTGGATTCATTTGCAGACGTAGGAAACACCACTACTATCCTAGCATCTGGACTTCTGATAGAAAAGTCAGAATAGACCGTTTGTTGATGTTTTGTGTAACTTCAGGTGCTTTGCAAACTATTTTTCATATATACGTATGCCTGTTTCAGAAAAAAACTCCCAAGTTTTCTAAAGCTTTAAACACTGCTAGTGTTCCTTTAAATACCTTGTTTGACAAAAGGTACAAGGTTCTCCTTACATAGTGGGTGAATTCTGGTCTGTAATATCTGACTATAATATCATTATAAAAAAGGAAAAAAATAACTCAACATTTCCATACGAGACATTCAGTTGGTTGGTACATACACCGATCAGTCACAACATTATGAGCACTGACAGGTGAAGGGAATAACACTGATTATCTGGTTATCATGGCTCCTGTCAGTGGGTGGGCTATATCAGGCAGCAAGTGAACATTTTGTCCTCAAAGTTGATGTGTTAGAAACAGTAAAAATGGGCAGTGTGAGGATCAGAGCGACTTTGACAAGGGCCACATTGCGATGGCTAGACGACTGGGTCAGCATCTCCAGAACTGCAGCTCTTGTGGGGTGTTCCCGGTCTGCAGAGGTCAGTACCTATCTAAAGGGGTCCAAGGAAGGAAAAGAACCAGAGACAGGGTCATGGGGGGCCGAGGCTCATTGATGTACATGGGGAGTGAAGGCTGGCCCGTGTGGTCCGATCCAACAGACGAGTTACTGTAGCTCAAACTGCTGAAACAGTTAATGCTGGTTCTGATAGAAAGGGGTCAGAACACACAGTGGATCACATATTATTGGTATGGGACTGGACCACCAGGGGGCCCAGGGGGTCAGGATGTTCTGGCTGATCAGTGTATATGATTTAACAATGTGACAGTAAGCTACAAAAAACGTGCCTAAGGAAAAAAATCAGTTTGAAATGAAATCCTGATGTATGTAATCTAACTTTAGGATATATAAATAAGTTAAGATGCTGTTCATGCACAACAGATATATTGTAGATGTCGTTGTTTCCAAACGCAGAGCCTATATTACCTGATGTTAACACATGGCTCTCTAAGATGAGGGTTACAAATGTGTGTTAGTATTGTTATTCACACAATTTGGGCTAGAAGTACAGAGCTCAATTCATTATCAGTGTGGAGGGGAGCAGTGCCAGTCTGCCTGTTGTGCTCTACTTTTTGATTACTTTGTTATACACTGTTTAAAATATTTTTTGCACACCACATTCCTTTATTGCATATTTTACATAGTGTAGCTATATATTCTCATCTTTATAATATTTTTATGTTATTATACTTTATTGTATTTTTACTCTTCTCTACTTTTTGCCCTACATTCCCCTGTGCTGTTTAAACTTTCTCCCTACGGCGGATCAATAAGGGATATAATAAGCCCTGCACAATATGAAATCTTACCACCGGTCCCGCTAGTTTGAGGAGTTGGACTATCTCATTCCGGTAGTCTAACGGGATACAGCCTCGGATGCGCTTCTTCAGGCCAGAGCGGCAGCCGGAGCCGTGAACAGAAGGAGCCGGTTGAGCGGCTGTCAGGACTCCGACCCCCCCCTCAGTGTCTGTAGTTGCTGGAGCAGCAGGGCCGTCCATACCCGCAACAGACGCGCGTTAAATGTACCGTCCGGCTGAGCTGTGGAGCCGCTCTGCGCTCTCACGCCTCCGATAGACCCCGTCCGCAGTCACGGGACATGTCTCACCAATGTCCGCCCAGTGTGTGTGCCAGCGGGGTGGACGCTGTGCTGTCCTCACAAATAGACTCGCGCTTTCTGACCGAAACGGGTTGTGATCATGTGACGGATCTGACGTAGGTTGGGCCTTATATGTTATAATGTGATTCTGATAACAGAGCACGTGCCGGATGTTATATAACAACTCTAATGGTGATGCTATATGCGGTCTTGTTCGGTAATCAGCGGTGTTGATATACAACCATGCTTTACAGCGATCAGCACGCTACTGCCGTTCCTCATGGTTGTGGCCACGTCACGCTGACGGGCGACGGCTACATCACGAGACCAACGCGGTCCTGGCTCAACTTCCTTACTCACTGGATCATGTTCCTTGTGCCAGTTTTAAAGCCCCCCCCCCCACTCAGACATGTTTCTCTTCTTGTTCTTCTTTCACTGTGCAGAAGGCTGTATGTGCAGTTTGACCATGGAGGGATGATTTCACATTCATCTGCTGAAAGTGGAAAGTTTCTCTGTGCTCATTGAACATCTGATTGTAAGAGGCAGGGCCTACCAGCATGATTTGTGACATCACAAATAGTTTGGAAACCAGTCCTGGTCCAGTATGCAACTATCTAGTGGTGAAGTTGCAGATTGCTACTAACTGAACACCGCTCGTGTCTTTATTTGACGACCTGGGAATGGCCTGTGGAGCGTGCAGGAGAAACTTCAGTGGCTGCAAAACTCACAAAAACATGAAAGGCCCTATCTACAGTCAGTTTGTCCGTTCTGGGCTACTGTAAAAAATGGTGGTTCAACATGGCTGCGTCCATAGATGAGGACCCGCTCTCTCTGTAGATAAAAACGTCTCATTCTAAGGTAACTGAAAATATAAATGGTTCTTGTGAAGACTAAGTGAGGGGAAACGTAATTCACTTTCTTGGTATTTACTGTTGTTTTTGCAGAACACACTGAGAATACTCTCATAGTTAGACTGCTTCCATTTCAGCAGACGCAGGAAATGTTAAGTTATGCAATACATTGCCTGTACATGCAAACAGGTGTATAATGTGTCTCTCTTTGTCTCTCAAGCTCTTTGTTGGTGAGCAGTGGCACCTTACAGTAAGGTTCTGGGTTCATAAGCTATCTGTGAGTTTGCACACTCTCTCTGTTAAACACACAGAAGGTAGTCAAAGCAATCTCAAGGTCATATTTAGAAGCTGTTCTGGAGCTTTCAGTCATATCACATGATCTTCGTTCGCAGGTGGAATGTACCCAGTTCATACTGTAGATTGTTTGAATGAACAATGCTCTGGGAGAGACACTGACAGTATAAAGTATCATTGCCCTCTAGTGGTAAAATAATTTAATGCAATTTAAGAAAAAATGTAAAGAATGTATTTATAGTATAGCATAGTAAGAGTGTAGAGAATGATGTATGAGAAATGTGATGTGATGGATGTTTTAATGACTGACCATGACCTACAGTCTGACTGTGTTCATAATGGACCATCCATAAAAAGGTTGTCATTTCATAGAAAAAGAGAGTAAAGAAGTGTAGCAAATCAGCGTGTAAATTGCTATTTCTTAATTCTTTTTTTGACTCACATTGCAGAAATAGAAGAATTTGAACAGTTGAATAAATTAACAATTAAAGTTTCAGTAAAAATAGGCCTCTCTGTAAACAGTGTACTAATCTATTTTTGGTTTCGCAAAACCACTTTTTAAAATTCTCGTTAATAACATACTTTTCCCCCCAGTGGTTCTGGAAACTACACCTTCTGGTTGTGCTGTGGAATAAAGTGATAGTAAATGAACCTGTCCTTGAGGCTGTTTTGCTGACTGAGCAAAGAAGGCACACGTGAGAGCAATAAAGAAATCATAAAGCGGTAATCTTGACATTGTTTTTAATGGTGGGAGTTGAGCATTACAAAGCAAGAGCAGACATCATCATTCAGTCATTCACAGATAAAATCCCTGATGAAACAACAATGCATTTTATGGCTTATGACAGCATGCTTTGTGAGCACAGATGATGATTTTTAAAAAAGTTTTCCATCATTTGTTTGGGGCAATTTTCTCAAGGAGATCAAGGTAAAGGTAAATCAGTTCTTCTCTGCTGCAAATTGGGAATAAAATACAGGAAATGATATTCTGTTGCAACCACCAGGGAACCAAACAGGACAAGTTAACAAATAAAGTGTTTCGATTGCCATTATAAATATATATAGAAACACTGTTTGCAATAAATTGTGTTCCCAGTACTGCAGTGGTGAAATTATTTCTGATAACTTTAATTTCTCCAGTGAACATGCAGTTCCAGTGTGCATCAGTCCTTTTTATTTTAAGAAACATTCCAAGTGAAAATGCTGTAATACAACAGCTTATCCACAATAATAAGCTTTGCGTTAATCAGTGTTGTACATGATTTTGTGACGAATGTGTTGAGTTCAAATGAAAGGCTGTCAACCAATGATTGGGTCAGTTGTTCTCTGAGACCCTCCCACTCGATACGTCAATCAGAAGCTGAAAATGCACATACAGATAGCAAACATGCCACATACTGTAATCCTGCACTGCTTGGGCTATCTGTGTCTGTTTTCAGTCACTGATTTATAACTATTTGTGGTTATACTGGGAAGTCTGTAGTAATAATGCACTTAGTGTAAGGGACATGGTAGTCTACTTCCTACTTGACTGTCCCCAGAGCTCAGAGGTGTGCAGGTTTTTATGATCATGAAAAGCTTGCAGAATGCAGGAAACTTAAAGTTGCTAGAATTCTCATAAAACTATGTATAATACTAAAAACATCTATTGGGAAGTGACCCTAAGTCTGCTGTAGAATGGAGATTCCTGTTCTTAATGGACAGTTTAGTACTAAATATAAAAACTTAATAAATGTATGGAAAAGACCGGTGGTTGACAGCCACATCACCATGCACTGGAGGTGTTTCAACTGGAGGTGGTGAAAGAGTGTTAACAAATAAATTAGAGAAAAGCTAGCAAATGTATTACATTGCCATAAATCATACCAAATGTCTGTGCAAAATGACAACAAATTGAATGTGCAGAGGACTCATCCAAACAGTTTCATAAAGTCACGTAATGCGCATACATCAGCATTCTGCTACTAGATTTATAAAATGGCAAACACAGCTTCAGGCTTGATTTCTATGATTTGGTGAAATAATTTCTCACTCTAGTTTTTGGTTTTGTAAACAGTAACATTCAAAGAAGTCCTCACTGACAGCCTGGGCAATGTAAAGATATGTAAGTATCAGTAAACTGCAGTGTTTCTTATCTCCACATGGTCAGTCAGTCAAAGGCCTGTGTATGATCGGAATCAAATACTGATTCACTCTGTGTATTTGAGGTTGTGTGCTTATGTATGTGTGTGTAAAAGGCCCACTACTCTCACACACCACTACTCCTCTGTTTAAAGCTTTGCCTGTAAACATTTCCAAATGTCTTCCTTCTTGTCTTTACATTCCTTACTTGCTCATTGTAGTAACTCACTAATTCAATAAATTAATACATAAATAAACATAATAGATAACATAAAATACATTCAAGTATAGCAGTTCCTCAATACTGGAATGCAAGCAGATTCTGCTTTTGCAGCTTGCACCACTCTACAGTCTGGTTGTTGGCTGACTGTTTGGTTTGTGGGCTACAGTACGTGCACAGCATATAGTCAGTAACCACATGCACTCAACGATCTCAATCTGGCTCTATGATGTTGAGAGTTTCTGTGATCATTTGAGGTGTCATGGAGCTCAGTGACACAGTGTGTCACTGAGCTCTCTACTGCACATCCTAAACATGACTGTCCTGGGTCACACTCTGCTCACATCTGCAGTAGCTGTGGGCTCACTGGTGACCTCATGTATCTGAGGTTACATGCCACAGGTTGCTTGAAGGTCATTTCAAAGACTTCAGAGGTTGTGATCCGCTCATAGTGCAGTGAGGGTGCGGAACAGCTGAGTGAGGCAGAAGACAGAGGCGGTGAGCGCGGTGCACTGTTTGGCTAACAGCTTGGTGCTCAGGTCCTGGCAGCTGCGCTTGCTGCTGGCTCGCTCCGCTGCTAGACAGAAGTCCCTGAATGAGCGGGCCACATCTGCCAGACCTGCAACTGCCTCGGCGTTCCTGCGGTCACACCTATCGCAACCAGAGAACCAGAGGCATATACCTGCCAACTCCACAAGGGTCCGGAAACTGTCAGCCAGGGAGAGAAGCATTTCCTCTGGGCTCTGTCCAATTCCCACCACCTTCTGGCAGCCTGACATCAGCCGCCGGGCCTCTATTTGGAGCACCCGCTTGTTCTCTGTAAAGTGGGCAGGGCAGGTGTCCCTCAGATGGCGACCTCCATGGCCTGCCACAGATTTGTCTGCACCACTACTTTCCAGGATGGAAAGGAGCTGGTCCACATCTACACGGAGTACTTGGAAACCTGTTGGGGGTTCTGGGTAGCACTGTTGGCCTAGTCGACTGATGGTGTCCTTGTGCGTTTGAGACAGGAAACGGTCAGAGGCATCGGACAGTGGTGAGAGGAGAGGGCTGAGCTCAGAGGTAGAGGAGGAGAAAAGGATGGAGCGTGGAAAAGAGGGAGAGTGGGTGGAGGATGTGGAGAGAAAGGAGGGAACAGGTGGAGAGGTCATGATAGGAAGACCTGCTCCAGAAGTCTGAGTCACACCACTGCTCTGTGTGCGGCAGGAGAACTCGTAGACAGTCAGCTCTTCATCAAAGCTGTCCCCGCCGCTGAAGCAGTTGGTGTAGACCGCTGGGCACCCACAAGCATCCAGTGGCATCTGCACCCCTTCCATAACTGACTCACATCCAGATGCTAGCACAGAACTGCAGCCAAACTCAGACTTCAAAGGCGGGGTAGTCCCCACCTCGGCTTGGGTCTTTGTCTGGGATGGATCCTCACAGATGGTAAACACCCTGCAGCCTGAAGAAAGTGTATTTGGAGAGTCTGAATTCTGCCCTGTAGGCTTACAAAGACCCATCAAAGGCCTGTCACTACTGGCTCGTCTTCCTTTCTGTGACTGACTATGAAAAGGGACTCCCGGCCCATTTAGATTCTGTGTTGTCACCACTATTGGAGGGGGGATAGAAGGTGAAGCATCTTTTACAGGGCCAGGAGTGTCCATCTTTAGGCCCGAAGTGTCTCTTTGGAGGCTGTTCACGATTGAGACTGGAGGCTCGGTTATCGGTCCTGGTGTGTTCTTGATAAGTCCAGTGCACAGAAGCTGATTTTGGGCTTGGGGTTTGGGCTCAGTCTGGACAGGGAATGAAGAGCTTACTTCCTTCGCCTCTGGAACAAAGTGAAAACTCTTCTCTGAGGTTGTTTCCATAATAAACTCCCCATCCACCTCTGATCCTGTAACCGTTGCATCCGAATCATCTGACTCCACTGATTCTGCAGTGGTGACCATGTCAAAGTCTATTGTTTGCGTGACGTCATGAACATCTGTGACGGTGATCTCAACGTTGTCCCTACGGTTGTCCTCAGCAGGACTCTGAGCTACATTCCCTACCCCAGCTTGGTTGAGGGTTTCCTGGGATCTCGATAAATACATGGGTAGCTTTTGAATCTTCCCCCTCAGTGTGGAGGCAGACAAGCGGCCCATAATGCTAGGGGAACAGGTCTGGAAGAGGAAGTGAGTTGAAGAGAGAGGCTCTTTGGAGAGATTGTGGATCGTGGCTGTGATAGCTTTTGCTACGCTAGGACTAGCTAAACTATCCTTAGCTTCAACACTTGGCGTGGTGGAATCACTTCTGGGTTTGTTTACATTATGATTCGAACATGAAGCACTTTCATGTGTAACCTCGCTTTTCAATCTAGTACCTGAATTAAATGTAGGAGATGTGACACTTGTTGCGGCTCCAAGCTTTGCAGTGATGGAGTTAATAGCACGAGTATAATCAGAGTTGACTGTGTTGGAAAGAGACTTAATAGTCATTTGAGAATCCCCTTTACCTGCTGTAGCTGAATTAGCACTGAGGCTATGCTTTTTAGCTACAGTCCAGTCATCTTTCTTGTCACTTGCATTAGAATTTAAGGAATTACACACCTCATCATCATCATCGAAAACACTGTCCGAATTGGTGTTGTCAGTAACTTCATCACTAGCAGTCATAGTAGAACTAACAATACCGATGGCTTCTTCCTCATGAACACAGGTGGTGACTTCTAAACATAATTGTGCTTTGATAGTGTGATTTCGTTGGCAAAGTGGCGTCTCCTCAGAATTAGATAAAGCCATTTTGGTTGAGGTTCCCGTGTTTTTGCTTCCCTCTTCTTCCCTCACCAAACAGTCACTTTGGGATTTGTGAACAACTGGTGTTGGAGGAAGAGGGGATGAAGGTGGAGGGGGTGGTGGTGAGTATGATGGAGGGTTTAAATTTTCACGCACACCTTCAAACATATGTTCCTCTGCATATGAATTTTGCTCTAGGGCAATCAGATAGGCTCCCAGAAGGCCATTGCTGCTCTTTTTATTCACATCTATCAAACATGTAGGCAGTGTGTTGGCATCTGGCTGCCTTTCAGCGCCTATGAGTGGTCTCTCTGAACTGGATGAGGACCCTCTCACGTCCTCTTTCTTCTCTTCTTTCCCCTTACCTTCTCCCTCGGTGATTTCTGGCAAAAACATATGACTAGTGAACGGCCCATTTCCCGACACACCTGTTGTCTCCTCCTTCTCTCCATCCTCTTTGTCCTCATCCATCTCCTCCTGTCCCTCCCCTTCCTCCTTTCCATCACCCCTCCGATCAGCACACTCCTTCCCATCAGGATCCACCCGGCAGCGGACAACGGTGATGGTAGGAGATGCTGCCTTCACCAGATCTGTGACTGATTTGGATTCCATTGCATCAGGTTCCATTTCCATTTCTTGCTTCCTGGACATGGAGGGGGCCTGTGGGTCTCTAGTCTGCTCATGAGGCCCAAAACCACGAGGAGAGCCCGGTCCATCCGAGCGGGGTTTGGACAGGATGGGTTTTGACTCGAGCTGAGACGGTTCCCCTTCAGAGTGAGCCAGGGAGGAGACAGTAGGACTGGGATTCTGGGTTTGCTCTGAAGGTTCAGGATCTGAACTCAGCATCTGTGCATCATTGGCTTCTGCCAAAAGGTTCTTATGAAGCCTACTAGAGACCAGGTCCTGTCTTGATTCTGGATCTGGCTCCGGATATGACACCCTAGAAGTGTAATCAGTTTCCATGTACGAACGGCGCTTACGGGATCTTTTTCTGAGCTGGAACAATGTTTCTCTTCCTCCTCCTTCCTCGTCTCCTCCTTTTCTGTCTTCCTCTTTTCCATCTTTGTCTGCATCATTTACAGAGACTCTGATGTCACTGAGACTGAGTGTGCTGAGGAAATCCAGTTTCATCTCTGTGCAAATATCTGTAAGATAGTAAACAAGGCTCAGACCAGAATGTATAGCAAAATGATTTTTGATTAGTACACAGAGGCAGGGAGCAGACATACTGTAGGTAATCCAAATGAACTCAGTGACAAATGAACCTCCAGTTTTGTATCACTGTATTTTTGCTTGAAGGTTTTTGTCAGAGGGGGCCGGCAGGGTAGCTGCAATTAAAACATTTTTTTTGTGATTTCATGGACTAGTTTATTTATCTAACAGTGAGTTGTATGTCACTATGAGTACCAAGGGTGTTGTTTCCACTGGGGATGGGAGAGACAGCTTTTCCAAATCTTATTTTTGTATCACTAAAATCTCTCTAACCACTTTCCTCTCACTGCCCACTTGCCAAAATCCATATTAGAGAGGGGATTATGAAAAACTTATTACGCTCTAGCAATTAAGCTTTACAAGCAGAAGTGACTCATTTAGACACTTTCTTTGCCCTTGGCTTCACTTGTGAGGCTATATAATATAGCCACTACTCCTACTATACTACTATAAGATATATGTCCTTTTGTTCTTTTTTGTTCTTTAGTAAGAAGTCACATGCCAAAAAGGTTGGGAACAACTATTTAGTATAAAAAGTAGTTGGGTAACTATCTGTCAAATACAGTACATTAAATGGAGTTAAGATCACAATATTTTCTTTTGAAATGCAGTGGAGTAGAAGTATAGAAGTGAAGGTAGAAGAAGTGGCAAAAATTGGAAGGATCCCAAAATTATACATAAGCACAGTACTTAGTAGAATATGCTCTTAGTTACTTTCCAGTTCTGAACTAATAAATATATACACAGTCAAGTGTAATGGATGAAATGGATAAATATTTTATGGGAGGAGAGCCAGACTGTACTGAGCTGTAAAGGCTCTATAGTGTGCATCAATGTTACAGTAGGTGTGGTCAGAAGTGCCGTGTACTACATTCCCGGCATGTGTATCACACTGCTGTATGAATGTTGTATCCCTTTTGGACAGTATAAACATTAACCACTAGATGACAGCAAAAGCAGCCTGTACTTGCACCACTGTACAGGGTTTGAAAATGACAGAAATGCATGTGAGCACAATGAAAACCACATCACCTCTTGGCTTGGCTCCCGAGGTTGGGTCTTCAGGTGACGTGAAGCGATCTCTGGCGTCAAAGAACTCCTCATCAGAGCTGCTGTCTCCAAAGCCAGGCGGTGGCTGAAGGATGGGGATAGGCTCCAAGTCAACCGCTTTAGTCGGATCTCCCTCCACCTCCTCCCAATTTTCTCCCTCTTTATGTTGGAGTGGGCGGGGGAGGCTGCGAGCGCTGTCAGGGGTGATGTTGGAGCAGAGTTTGTAGTAGCAGCGAGCGTCGCTTTGGTCAAAGTTAAACACAAACTCCATGTGGGAGGAGGGGGAGGACAGGGAAGGGGACAGTGGATGTTCTTTAAAACTACCCTCCCCGCTCACACTTCCACCTTCACCCGCTCTTCTCACCAACTCATCCATTTCTTTCAACATCTTCCTCCTCCTCCTCCTCAGCTCTTCTTCTTCGTCCTCATCATCGCTGGCCTCCGGAGGGCTTGGCAGGAAGTCCACAAGGCGGGATAGCTCAGCAAAACACAAGGAGCTGTCATCAGAGCAAGGGTTACCTGAACATTTTTGGATGTGGTGAAAGCTGGGAGAGGGCGAGACGGGTGCGAGAAGTTGGGGATCGGCTCCATCGCCTGACCTTCTGTAGCCCCCTCCTCCTCTGTCTTGAGTTGCGAGGTGGAGGGGATGGGAGTGAGCTGGTGGAGGGGCGAGGAGGTGCGGCTGAACGCGCCTATGAGAGTAGGGATGAAGCTGAAGGGGAGAGTGGATATGGGCATGAGTGTGTGATGGAGCATTGGGGTCAATGGAGGAAGAAGAACATGAAATTAAGTCATCTTCCTCCAAAGCATCAAGAGAGTCGCTGGAGGGGCTGGTGAGGACCCGAGAGTCAGACTGACAAGAATCTGATGCTTCTGACACAGATGGCAGCTCCTCTGCTGCTCGCACCTCTTCACCACCTATTCTACCTTCTTGTCCCACTTTTTCCCCCAAATCATTGTTTGTTATCTCGATCTGTATTTGCTGTCCATTCTGATGGCTCTCAGTCTCTTCCTTGTGCTGTATATCTTCATTCTTACTCTCTCTATTCTTATCTAGTGGAGACTTTTCCTTTTCGGTGTCAGCATCTTTTTCTTCCTTTTGCCTTTTATCCCCCCAAGGTTTATCTCCCTTTTCTTTTCCATCTTTGTTTCTCTTTCTGTCTCTGTCTTTTCTTTTTCTTCCGTCTGGGTCTGATGAGGATCTGACACGAGGGCAGGGCTTCTCATCATGAGACACCTGGGCGACCAGCGGTTCCATGTCCAAGTCTGAGGAGTTGTCTGAGTCGCTGCCACACCGTGACACATAACCTGTGAACATACACCAACACAAAAACAAACAGTTTTTCATTATTTAGGACATAATGGTGCATGACTTTATGGATGTATGAATCTTTTGGGCTATGAATGTGTTTCTGCACCTTCCTCAGCAGACACTCTGTGCTTCTTGGAGTCATCTATCCAGGGAAAGATGTTGAGGTTGGGGTCAACAAACACTCGACAGTACCCTGCTATTAGGCAGGACATATCTTTGGCTGCCACTGACTCCAACAGCAATGTGATGGGCTTAGTATGAGAAAGGAGACAAGATGATATGGGATGAGCCAGGGAAAGCAAGGGAGTGACATCTGTTTTTTTTCACTTTTTGGGGGGCTGTATGACTTTATTGGACAGAACAGCTCAAGAGAGACAGGAAAGTGGGCAGAGAAAGAGGGGACGACATGCAGCAAAGGGCCGCAGGCTGGAGTCAAACCCGGGCCGGTGTGTCAAGGACTTAGTACATGGTAAGATCATTTTAGCAGTGGAAAAAACAATGAGCGTACAGTAACCCGGTTCAAATTCAAAAGGGTCCTAATACTGTTGAAAAAGCAGTTCTATTTCTTTTCATGCTGAAATCTGCATATTGTATACAGGAGGGGGTACACAAAATAATGTAAACAGGTCAGGGAATTTTAAAGTAATTAATCACCTTTGAAAACACACCTACAATGGGGGGGGGGCACGGTAAGTTCAATGCTAATTAGCAGTGTTCCTAAGCTATTAAAGAGGTCTGGCAGTCAGCAGTTTGATTCGGGACCTTCCAGATCTCAACAGTGGCTAAATCTCCTGTGTCCAAACTGCTGGTGCTTCAAAAGAATTTGCAAAATTACGTAACCCTATTAAATATGTAAAAGGGCACTGTCTCAAAAAATAATCACAACACATGGTACATACAGACAAACTGCACCAACAAAGGGTGAACAAATAATGCTAATTGGTACGCAACCTAATATAACCCACCTTTGTAGCAGTGTTTGTAATGCTGATTGAGTTACTTCAAAGTAAAAGTGCTTTTTGACGTGGTTTCCAGTATTTTGTCTGTGCTAGATGTGTGATGGTGTGTGTGTATATTCCTGCTCTTACCTTGATGTCCTGCAGGTATATTTTGACCAGGCTGACCTTGTCAGATTCAGGCAGCAGCTCGATGCGTGTAATGCTGGTGAACTCTGTGAGGGTGGACAGGATGCTCAGTTTGTGGTTGACCACCTGACTCACCCCGTAGCGTGCCCCCACCAACAGGGTCACCATGGACTCCCTGTCCTGGAGCTGAAGGGTGGGGGAGCAGGGGAGGCAGACAGAGGAGGAGAAATTGAGTAGAAGAGAATGAGAAGAAGAAATTAATGTACATATACAGTAAGCAGTCTGAACCCTACCATCATGGTGGCACTGAAGGATTTCCCTCCAAATGACTTGAGATCACTCAGCTCCTCCAGGTAGTTGATCCGTGCCTGATCGACTGACAGGCCCTTCTGCTTGGGGTCGTGCTGTGATTGGCTCTTCTTCATGTGGTAGGCAATGGCCTTCCTCAGATCTTTCTCTCGCATGTTCCTCAACAAGGTGGATGACACAAAGTTCTCTATGCCCCATGTCTTCCTGGAGAAACACAGAAACACAGACTGAGAGGGTCTGTTTTTGTGTACAAGACTGCTGAACTGTATCTAGGAATATCAATGGAATAGCATCCCCTTGATCCCTATGAAATCTTGAAATGCATCTTTGATGCTCACCCAAGAGGCTTAGTGGTACAAGACTGCAATGGCACAATACAACAATACTTTACTAGTGGAGTAAATAAATGTGTTAATTATAGTTGAATTTAGTGGTTATTAATATAATTTAAAATGAGTGCGTGTGTCTCACGTGATAATCTTCAAGTTGGTCTTTGGTGACTGTCCACAGCTCGCCAATCTCTCCTGGATGTGCAGCGCAGCAAGTCGCAGGGCGGTGTTACATCTCATCTCTATTGCGAAACGCTCCTGCAGCACATCATTCACCCCCTAACACACACAGTTACAGTACACATAGTGAAAAAATGACAAATTTGTAAAAATGTCAACAATTTTATGTTGTGTACACATTTCAGGACTATCCATGGTTTGTAAACTACTGTTACGTCTCGTTTACAGTGTTTCCTTTTTTGCTATTCAACTGAGCACAAATATCCATAACAACAGGAGGAAATTTAAAAGTAAGAACTTACTGTAACTTTCCTTCATAATGGTGAGCCAACAAGTCAGCAACTCATGCAACATGAATTTACATTTCAGGTTTTACTTGTTGAGTGACAAAATCATTGAATAAAGGAACCACAGGGCAGAAATAAAACTATGGTGAGATGTGATGAAAAACTGCACTTTAAAACAAGCTGACCTTTCAGTCTGCTGATTTACATCATGCAGAAATGTGTCAACAGCAGCACTAACTGGACTGGTTATAACACTTTGATTAGATCGTAGATAGTTGATTAGATCAATTTTCTACCCCTACCACACAATACATAGAAAACTGCTGTAGCCTGGAGTTTATCTGTGGGTTAGAGGTTCATCAATCTACCTGCAGGTAGAGGTATACAAAGGCAGTGGGATCATCCTGAAGTAGCGTCTGGAGGTTTTTGGGCATGAAACAAACACGGAACAGACATCTGTAGTCATGGGCCTCTTTCTTCTGGACCACCTGAAGACACACACACACACACACACACACACACACACACACACACACACACACACACACACACACACACACACACACACACACACACACTTTGCTTGAATTATATATTTTATAATTCAGGTAAAATATTAAGTACTGTCAAAGATCTAACCCACTTCCAAAGGGAGCTGTAGTGTAGACTACTGAGGAGACATGTAGAATAACTGTGCATACCTGCTGTATCCTCTCCTCATCATGTAGCAGCAGTAGTTTAGTAATGCTGTGCTGCTGCTCAAGCACCAGGGAGAAGTGTTCAATACGGCTCAGAGAAAGCTTTTCCTTCAGTGTCATCACAATGTCCTGATGCAAGGAGAAAATTACATCTTGAGAGACAATATTTTCTAACATCAGGAAACATAAATGCTGACGTGAGCTGAGCTGAGGTCCGTAGGTCTCAATGAAACAAGTTCAGAAAGGTTGGCAAATCTAGGAAGCTCAAGTACAGTATGTCTAATATTGATAAACCTGAAAGAGTGCATTACATTAGTTGTGGCTTTTAAAGTAGACTATACATTCAATCCAATATCACTTTAGTTACAATATATGGTTATGTTTAAATATGAAGCTTAGTGCAGGCTTGGCATTACATCACATTAATTCACATTTATAGCATGAAAATTGGCTTCATGAATCACAGGGAATACTTCCATTACATAAGCACACCCTGAACCTCAGTGTCAACTCTGAACCCCCAAAACTCCACTACAGTTGTTAAGTATCCAGTATGAAGGCGAAATGAACTTGGTAATAAATAGGAATTGATATCAATATGGTGGACTGTATCATTGCATAGTACCTTGACTGTGGTGCTGGGTTCAAATTTAAAGGCCTTGGTCTGTCCGTTCTCCAGATACACCTTCAGAACATTAGGCAGGAAGAGCAGCGAGTTGCCCTGCAAAGCAGACATGGGGTCAGGCGAAGGGTCAGGTTTACAAACCAATGTAAAGACATTAAGACAGATGTAATATGTTTGCTTTTCTTCTTCTGGTTAGAACTATAGATGCTGCATTTTGTACAATTTAGGAGGCTGTAACATTAATCTAAATGTGAGGAAATGAAAGCATGTATAATGGGTTCAGTGTCTCTGCAATTTAGAAATGAACAGATTGTAGCAATATTCCTTAAATGATAAAAGCAAGATTGGCAGACCTTAAGAATATGGATTTGAAATGAAGGTTGAATTCAAATAACACACTTAGTTTTTGTTTTGTTTTTAATGGGAAACAGACCAAGTCAGGACTGTAATTAAAAGAGTGCCATTCAAATCTCAAATGATGGGAAATTGAAATATGACATTTCTGTTTGTTAATACATTAATTTGAGGAACTTCACAGTTTTCTCATCGCTCTGCACAGATCTGATGTTTCCATCTGCTGCCATTGTAGTCGCTTCAGTGGAACGGAAGCCTAAGTGGATGTTTAAGTCACATGCACATCATGATTTATTCGTTTCCATTGCACTTACATTTCACATTTTTATTTTTATTGATACCTCAGCCAAACATAAAGACATAATGACAAGTCTGTTTTATTGGAATATATCTGAGGACATTTCACAAGCACTTCTGCTTTTGCACCCAAAAAATACTGTAATTTTGAATTACTGGGCAGCCAAATTAACAGTTAAATAGCTTTACATATTACAACATGCTCACAGTAGGAAAGAGAAAGATTATCCTCATCTCATTTTAAGCTCACAGAATGTTGCTTCCCATCATATCCTCTGGCCTGTTTCTGTCTGCCCAACTTGTTCACTGTGGTGAGTCATCTTTCTCTGCCTCATCCCTGTTCTCTTATCATTTTAGAAAGTGTTTTTATGTATTGACACTGTGATGTAATGCAACATTGATGTCTGTATGTTTTGAAGTTCAAATGGAGAGCTTTCAAATTTTAGACAACCCCTCCCATGTCACCCTCCCATCTTCTATTTCTCTTGTTTCCTCTCCCTTTTAACGATGGCTAAAACAACCCCCCCCCCCATCTACCTCTCTCCTTAATCTGATGCTCATTGTCCTCATTGTGACATTAGGACTGGAGGATGAGGCAAATATCGATCCGTGTTTTCTGTGTGATTAGTAATGGGCACTCCAGCCGTTGTGGTTTTCCTCATCCAGCTAATTTCACATCCGCTGGCAGGATGTGAACTCTGATCAACCAGAGCCAAGCTTATAAGAGAAAAAGAGTATGGAATAATACTGACCAATTATAAAACATCACTCCTTGTCATTATGCAAAGGTACATCTGGCAATAATAGATAACATTTTACAGCATGTGAAACTACTGTAGTATCAAAAGGTTTGATCAATCAAAATTTTCTTCCTTCCTCATGAAACATTTGCAAATCTGATTCTTAATTATTTTATATCCAGCACAGTTTACATTCATACTAGCTTTAAGTCTTCTTCTTTTCTGCCTCTGCTGGTGCACTGCTACCTATCTTGGCATGTTACAGCCACCTGTTGATCAGTGGAATAGTGTACCATGTCACCCATGCATGCTTGCAAGTGACAGCTTGTACGAGTACATTAAATAAACAACACAGAGACCCACTCATAGAAAAACAGCTCCATAACACTGCTTGAAGATTTGGATTTGATTTGAAGGAATAAGACAAATCAAATAAATATTTTGGGGTAAATTTTATGAGCATATGTGAATCTGACAATATCCCACGCATTTTAGACCCCATTTACACCTGGTATTAACACATAATATCAAATTGCACAAAAATGTAAAGGTGATACCTGTCTACAGCAATACAAGACACATGGTTTCAATTTGTTAATGAATGTGCTAATAAGCTAACATTAAAGAGAGGGATGGGGGATTGAAAGCTGAGTTGTGAGTTATTTCTCACTCACCTGAGAGTGTCCATTGACTTCCACCTCCTCAGCAAAGTGGACTTTAACAGGGTTGGACCTGAGCTTGGCCCTCTTCTCTGGTGTGATGAATGATGACTTTGGGCCCTGGGAGAAATCAATAAGCATTTTTATCATTTAAACAGGGTTGTATGTGATGCAGATGTATTTTCAGTGAAGTGGTTCATATGAGAGAAATGACAACATGCATGGTCTGTTGCTTTTGTTTTTCTCATCCATGAATGCATACAGACATTTTACCAAACACATTTGATTATTTATACACTGTCTTTCTTTGGTGGACTTGGTTGCAGACTAAAACTTGAAGTAGTTCAAATAATTTTGCTAGCTTCAATATCACAGCTAAGAGAGGTCAGGTCCAGTGTGTAACACTTAGGAAGCTCTATTGGCAGACATGGAATATAATATTCATAGGTATGTTGCACTGTCTGGGAAGAGTGAGTGTGTACACTAGATGGATAGCGTCTAATATTGCAGAGAGTAAATTATTATGATATATAGATGGGTGCATTCATTTTTAGAAATATATTAATGATGTAATAGTAATACTATTCTATTTCCAATACAACACAAGCAATCAAATAGATGTTGTTCTATTGAGGGATTTACACTTAGAACACTCAAACAATCCTCCTGCTCTTATATCACTGTCTGATTATAATAAAAATCTTACAAGCCTTTGTTCTGAACTCTTTTGATGTTTTGTTACCATCAACAAGCATGACAAAGATGGATATTTTCCAGGAAATACTAATAATTCCTTAAAGCCCAGTAATGATTTCTTAGAGGAGCTGTGAGCTATGAATCAGATGGGGAAGGTGCTTCCATCAGCAGACCGCTGATGAGAATCACTGAGGAGCAGCCATTTATTTACCGATCTACTTCACCTCAGTGCAAACACATATGTCACCTTCGCAGATTGAGGACCAGCACACACACACACACACACACACACACACACACACACACACACACACACACACACACACACACACACATTGTAGATTGAGTGATCATGACAGAGTATGTGTCTATCTGAGTCTGTGGGGGGAGTTTCCGAGGGCGTGCCGTGCTGTCACTGTTAACACTGATGTAGTGGTGGGACCTTGGCGACAGGACACTTGTTAGCAATGATTCTTGACCCCACGTCTCATTGACATGCTGGTTGATGTGTTTGTTGACAACAGCATTTTAAGATCCCATGTGTATGGAGACACTGTACATCATGTGTACACATATAGTACATGCCTGTGTATGTTTGTTTTTACAAGAGGAAACAAGCACATTTCATCTAAAATGCTGCTGGAAGAGGATGAATCATCATCCAATTAAGTGTCCATCAGTGTAACTTTGTGTGAAAATGTGTGTTTCTGTGCAGTGAAAATGTGTGTGGTTAGTTAGATACAGCAGACTCACCAGCATTGTTCTGAGGACAGTCATTGTCAACGAATCTTGACACTCCCTGAAAAAAAAAAAAAAAAAAAAAAGTAAAAGGAGTCTTAGTAAGGTTAGACGTGATGTGCATTATTTAGTTTTAAACAGCAATTTTGTGGTATATGCACCGATTATCATGCATATGTGTGTGTGTTTGTGAATGCAGCTGTCAGTGGAGACCTGATTATTTCAGCAGCTTGCTCCGGGGTCAGGTCATCGACAGCGACGTTATTGATCTTCACAAGCTGGTCGCCAGGGACAAGCCGACCATCTGCAGGACCACCTGGACACACAAAATGTCCTTGTGTTGTCATGCCTGAGGGTGTTCAATTGGCCTGCATTCATACTGCAACTGGGGTTGATGACATGCAGCAGCTTGCATGTTAGTCGTCTCCTTTCATCTCACACTGATGCATAATTTTTCACACAGGTTTCCAAACATAACTGTCCCACCGCAGGGAGACCAGCGATTTAATCACTGTGCATCCAGTTTAGAGTGAATCAAACAACTGTATATTTCTCCGCCCTCTTCAACTCTAAACCTTAACAACAAAAACACCTTTCGCTTACTGTCCCTAGGTCAGCCTCCAGAAATATTGGATGGCTGCTGTCACCAGTACTGATAACATTAGGGGGAAAATCTTCTCTCTGTAGGATTTGCTTCAGTAGTCAATAGACAAGCAGACGTGTTTTGTGTCATTGTATGAGGAGATGCATGGAAGAAAAAGCTAAACACCAGGCTAACAGAGTTGTGATCAGAAATTACAGGCGATGTTTGCAAATGGAGATGATTTCTTTCAAATCCTATTGTCAACAATTGCTCCAAATACATTGATGATGCTGTCCCAAACTGAGCACATTTACATTTCAAGTCTCCCTCTTTGTGTTACCGCCCTTCACTGCAATAATACTAAATAGAACATATTTGTGAAGAATATTAATTTGCTTCCCAAGCACTTAAATTGGGAGTGCATTAAGAAGGGGTCTTCTGATGGCCAGTATGAACAGGAGGAATGTTTACAGCAAGCAAACCTACTTCAAGCTTCATATGGGCACCTGACGATTGTTTTAAAACAGACTTGGAAAAATGTCAACCTATCGTTTAACTGCTCTCTGGCCAAGCTATTACAGAAAGTACTGTGCAGAAGGGGACATTGAAATAAGCTGAAAGAAACTTGGAATGAGAATGGCATTGCATAAGAGTCTCACAATATTTGATGGAGGCATGGTAAGACGTTTCCAATGCTTTATGCCAACATTGGGAAGATGTTATTTTATAAAGCTACTGATAGCTCTACCTCTAGGTTTATATATTTTATTTATATAAAACTTCAAGATATTTTACACATTATGCATTTAATGCTTATTTTGTCTATGTCTTTACAATGACTATCCTGGGAGAAAGGGTGTATTTAATTTGTGTGCACCATCACAAAGTCATGAATCATGGTTATGATCATAGATACCTTAAAGTGTGTGCAATCTAGTACTGTGTCAAGAAACATAAAAGTTTCTCATACACATAGACACTGCGCCATCGCCTTCCATATTACAATCATCAACAGCATCCCCAGCATATTACTTCCTGTACAACATCAGGTAACCCTCCAGTGTTGAGTTACTTAATTGTGATACAAGTTATTACTGTCTACAACATCCAAAGTGAACATAGACAGATGCAGGTGACACCGATAGCTCTGAAAATGCTTTTAAATAAAGGATTCATATTTCACTGCCAAAATGCTGCAGCACGTGCTACAGACATAGAGAGAGGAAACATTGAGCCAAGCCTTAGTGGGGCCACTGGAGACATGAGCAACAGTGTGTGTGTGTGTGTGTGTGTGTGTGTGTGTGTGTGGGACAGGCAGAAGCAGATGGTGACAGAGCAGGGTTGAGCCAGACAGGAGAAAGCGAGGTAATCTGCCCCCGGACCTCAGGGGGATTCAGATCCTTGTTGCTTTGCAGCTCAGCAGCAAACTGCACTTCAGAGTACAAATATAAGTAGAGCAAAGTATACAGGGTGTACTTAATGAATAACTGTCTAATTTTTAGTCATATCATATATAAAACTGTAACGCTTTATTATTGTATTTGCAGCAGTTACAGTAAATTTTTTACAATGCACTGTATTTCACTGTAGTTATACAGTGCATTTTAAATTCAGATTTCCTATGTGTTTTATCGTACAATGATAGGAAATATGTCATTTTTATTAGCTGTAGCACATTCATGGATTTAGCATCTAGCATACAGCATTATAACAATGTTCAGTGTAAGAGAAGTAGCTCAATATCTAATGTAAAAACCTGGGTCATTCACATTGTTCAACATAATCTGTTAGTTTTCCTTTATTATTTATTATGTATAAAACAGCATTTCTTTGGTCAATGCAAATTACTTACTCACTCCAAATTTGTATATCGATACAATCGCTACTTTTAAAACATGGAAAATATGTTAGTTTTTTAAAATGGGAAATAAAAACATGCAGACCATAAAAGTATACACCGATCAGCTCTAACATTCTGACCCGGGCCCCCTGGTGGTCGTAATGTTTTGCAGTCCCATACCAATAATATGTGATCCACTGTGTGTTCTGACCCCTTTCTATCAGAACCAGCATTAAGTGTTTCAGCAGTTTGAGCTACAGTAGCTCGTCTGTTGGATCGGACCACACGGGCCAGCCTTCACTCCCCCATGTACATCAATGAGCCTTGGCCCCCCATGACCCTGTCTCCAGTTCTTTTCCTTCCTTGGACCCCTTTAGATCGGTACTGACCACTGCAGACCGGGAACACCCCACAAGAGCTGCAGTTCTGGACATGCTCTGACCCAGTCGTCTAGCCATTGCAATGTGGCCCTAGTCAAAGTCGCTCTGATCCTCACACTGCCCATTTTTACTGTTTCTAACACATCAACTTTGAGGACAAAATGTTCACTTGCTGCCTGATATAGCCCACCCACTGACAGGAGCCATGATAACCAGATAATCAGTGTTATTCCCTTCACCTGTCAGTGATCATAATGTTATGGCTGATCGGTGTAAACTTCTGCTTATTCAAAAACATTAAATTAATTCAGTTATAAAGCATTCATTAGGAATGTGCCATAGACCAAGCAGATCAATCCTACTGATTAATGTTATAAAACTGAACTATTTCTCTGTCCATTGTCTAATGCATTAAGAGTTAGAAATGTGGTGAATACACAGCTCTGTATTTTGTCTCTTTACGTATAGTGATTACATAATGTATTGTGTTATCAATGATGACTTGAATCTCATAAGGGTTTGTGCTTGACTGAAAAAATAAAGACTTGAATACAAACAAATGTAATTTATAAAATGAACATATCACAGTTCTGAACAGACAATCTACCATGCAAAATATGAGAAGAGTAGTGTACAAACATTGCAAGGCAAACATACTGCAGGATTCTCTGAATGACTCACTATGCATGAGTTGGCATCAGCTCTAAAAGGCAATTCATTCTAAACTGAGTGACAACTATATGGCTGTAAGTAGACCATAATCAAGACACTGTATGTGATGATAAATTATTCTATTTTTGGAAAGTTACTGAGGGACTGTAAGACTGCAGCTCTCCTTTAGATGTGACAACATTTACAGCAGCTGGTCGCTGGAGAGTAACTTTCTAAAAGGAAGAACCCCTTTCAAATCAAGCAGCATGTGCAGCTACTAGTGTTGCATCCCTCTTCTCTGCAATCTCTGCAGTCAACACACAAGCTAAGCATCATTATTGGGCGGTACTACACATCTGCAGGCATATCAAAATTATCCATGATTTTTTTGGGTGGTTGATGGTCTTTTTGAACCAAGTTTTACATTGTGACCTGTAAAAGGGCTGTGCCATGGGATCCAGTAGAGGTGTCTAACTACAGGATATCCCTAGACTTTAATAAATAGTGGACAGAGCTTCTGGGTTTGTGAAATCAGGTCTGTGAAATTAGGCTAGTGCAGAAAAACCTTAAATCTGCATTGGTTGCCATCAGACGGGGGGGTGCAGGGTGCGGATGGTGAGGTAGGCCTGCTTCGTCGTATGAAGAAGCCCGCAATTTTTGGTTGCGTTCTTCTGTCCATTTGGCTGTGTACAATGCGAGAGAAAATCATGTGCAATCATCAAACGTATAGCTATAAGACAACCACGTGTAAACGCAACACGGTTTGGAATGAAAGGGAGAAAACAGGACAGAGTTTTTTTTATTTTTTTGCTGTGTTGCTAAGGCGGCCGCCTTAGCTGCAAAAGTGCTGCAGGAAACCCTGGACTGGAGATGCTTGCATTTTCTCTCTACCATCACAACGCGCTGCTAAACTGCAAGGAAGATGCTAGCGAGAGGTCATGTGATCACGTCATGTGATCACGTAGGCCCACTAGTCGTGTGACTGAATCCTGCCATGCTGTAGAGAGCGTTGCTGCACTGTGTATTAAGTGGATGTGAGGAGTTTCTGCGTGCGTTTCAATATTTTTGTAATTGTAATTTAAATACTCGATAATGGAAATTTGCACATTGTCAAAACAACATGACGATATTATCACAAACGATGTATATCGCCCACCTCTAATGTCATGTAAAAAAAGAATTGTACTGAGGCTGAGTCCTTGCTGCAGCGGCCCAGGGTTCGAATCTGACCTGCAGCCCTTTGCTGCGTGTCATCCCCTCTCTTGCCCCCCCTTTCCTGTCTATCTTCAGCTGTCACTATCATAAAAGCAATCACCCCCCCCCAAAAAAAGGATTCCCTACTTCTAACTTTATTTATTAGCTCAAAATCATTTCAGAAACATATTTTAGTGTACTGTTTGTCTGTAAGCTGTAAGAAAGTTGTGGCTAGGCAAGCCGCCATTTATTTAGCTACGGATGAGTTGAAACCAAGCGCAACCAGTCAGCGCAGCCAAACTCGCTGTACGTCACCGCTGGTGGTAGCAAAACACCAACATGGTGACATCCATAATTCCAAACCCAAGGCTTCAAAAACGTACTCCAAAACCAATGAGTGACATCATGATAAGGTCACACTTGGGGCTGACACACTCTGACGTTCCTGTGAATGGATTTAATTGAGGACTTACTCAGCCTGTGGAACACATCTCTAGCTTTATGTGTATCCCACCTCCCTTGCCCCCAATTGCACCCCTAACCCCAGTGTTACCAATCTATTGCATAACAAACAGTACATTAGGCATTTAATTGGAAGAGGTTCTTGGGGACAGTAAAAAGCCTGGGAGAAAGTGCTGCCTGAGAACCTCAATTAAGGGCAAAAAAAATCCCTCTTCTTGTAAAGCTCCTACTTAGTTTTACACACACATACACACCATGCACACACACCATCAATGCTACAGTATATTTCCTTTGTTAATGTGATTTTGTGTGCATGTATGCAGGATGAGCAAGCAGTATCAGCCTCCCTTGGAGTTTCCACTTTTCATGGTTTGTCTTGTACACTGGCCAGAGGCCTGCAGTGGTCTGGCACAGCTCCATTATTACATTGGCTGAGGTGGCTTGATCTATGCAAAATAAGAGACAACTGGCAGAATACAAGAAAATAAATCTTCTGTTCCTATAAAAGACCAGAATATATTTGATACCGTGGTTGGTCCTATCAGCCTCATGCCTGCAGTAGTTGTATAGTAAAGCTCTTCACAGAAGCAGAAAATAAATTCCCAATTTCCACCAGGCAAATGATTGGATTCAATTCATTACATTTGACTGAATTGACTGACTGAACATTGGTATGGCCCTAACATTACCATGGGTGGGACAGGTCATTAAAGGCTGCTGCCATAGGGACTCTGCACCTACAAACTGAACAGCAGCAGCTGTGCCTGTTGGGCAAGAGACAAAGCAGACCAAAACACTGCAGACCTTGGCAATGGAAACTGGCACGTAGAATGTGATCTCCATGGGGAAGGGAGCCTGAGCTGGTGTTGGAGAAAATGAGAGTTAACAAACCAGACATAGCTGGGCTCACCCAAACATGCAGTGTCAGCTATGAAATCAAACTCCCTGATACTGAGTAGTACTGTATTTCTTCTACTCATGAGTTGTCCGTGCTGAGTAGTGCTACATTGGTTTTATGGACAAGAGGGTTACATATCTGTGTATACACACAACAAGGTTTGTATATCAGACCAGCTTGATTCAAAGTTCAGTGATCAGCTTAATAAATGTTCCCTCATAACTGGCAGGAGGGTGAAGTAGGTGCTCAACTGTTAATAACTAATTCAGATTTTTTCTGCACTTGTTTAAGGTTAAAGACCTTGTAATGTTTTGTTGCTTTTTCCTTCTTCTGTGTTTACATTTCATAAATGTTGTCATACCTGGGTTGACCTCCTGAACCAGGATAGGGGTCTGGGAGGACAGAGTGAGGCCATGAGAGTTGAGGTTTGGGTCCCGTTGGATCTGAACATTGAAGCGGAAGGGGTAATTCCTCTGATCAGAGCCACCGGACTCTGCTGTCTTCCCATCCGCTGCAACCCGGTCTCTGGAGAGGAGCAGGTGGCCATAAAAATAAAAACATAAATAATGACATCTTTCCTTGCTTGACATCTTACTCTCTGGCAGTTTGATCAGTTCTGTGGTAAACAACCTCATATTTGTGTATATTAGAAAAATACAGCAAAAAATTGTTGCTGTAGATAGAAAATGCCGATAGAGATCGCTTGGTAGGTAGGTATGTGGATTTCCTATGATTTCTATATTTTCACATAGGCCTATCCCTCAGTCAAAAGACACAGGTCAGACGAAATGGAGAGTCGAATTAATTTATATACGAGAAAAACAGAGCTTTACCTGCTCAGAGAGTGAGACCTGCTGCCTAAGTCTCGGGACCGTCTCAGCCATCGTCCCACCACCTGCTCCACCCGGCTGGTCCTACGGGACGGGGAGCGGCTCCTGTCCTGCACCTCCATTTACCTACCAAGGGGCAAAAGTCAAAGGAGTCATACATACAGTTGGTTAAAAGACATTACAGATAAAAGTGTCAGTGCAATGTAATGAAACATATCCTGCATTAACTATGAAGTAAATCAAACAGGAGCCAATGGCTCAGGTGTCAAAACCAGATTTCCTGAATGATGAAAACTGAAATATTATGAGAGGAAGTGAAATGTGTCTCAATTAATGGTTTCATAAGACTGTAAAATCCATTTCCATCGGTGCTTTGTATTTAAAAATACAAGATGTTGCTAAATGATGAATTTAATCATAGGAGTGGAAATAATTTGCAAAATTCAAACACACACACACACACACACACACACACACACACACACACACACATTATGTTTAGCAGTGGGACGTCTGGGTATTAGGCATGGGCTGAGGCCAACAATGATGTCACTTGTGTCTTCATGCAGCCTAATAGGCACTTAGCCCGAGTTATGAGCCAACTGCTTGCATGTCATATTCAACCCTCAGTAAACATCAATATCATTAATTCCTAATTATCAATAACAATGGAGTCTCCTTTAAATGGGTCCCTGTTTGCTGTCAGGCAGGTGGTCGTCATAAATGATTGCTGACAGGCTGTGGTGGTTGGTGAGCTGGATGTAATGGACATAGGTCGCCTCTGGTGTCTGTGGGGTGGAGTCAGGCTAATACATGGACCTGTAGTTGTGAGCTAATGGGTCTTTGTGGAAGCTTGCAATAGTTTAGCTAATGCCATATCAGCTTACAGACACACACACACACACACACACACACACACACACACACACACACACACACACACACACACACACACACACACACACATTAATGTTGTCCTTAAAGGGCCACATAAACTCAGGAATGGACATGGGCACAGTCATAGCATTTTTAAGAATCCACTGGGCCTGAATGTAAACTACCAATCAGAGCCAAGAAATATACTATAAGAAAATAACACTTTGGGTTGGTGGCTTTAAGTTTGTTGATGAATGAGTTTCATTCCCAACTATCTTTCTTGGCTCTTTGTGTTATTAGTAGTAGTTGTGTTATTCAGTCTGAGCGGCTTCTTACAAATGCTGTTAGGAGCACTAGGAGGAGCCAAAGGAACCAGATTTGTTTGATTATTCGTCTCATGTACTACTGCAAGGATAAAATGATATAAATATAACAAAAACCTTTTTTTAAATAAAAGTTAACAGCAACAGCTTTAAATTCTCACATTTTAGAAGCTGAAAAAGACAACATTTTTGCTTCATTCAGCTGATTCATTAATAGACTAATAGTTTCCGCTCTAGTTGTATTTATACATTTTCTTTCAAATGTTTTGTCAGCACATACAGTCCATGCATATAGTCTTTGTGTTCTCTGGGCTGCATGCGGACAGTCTGTGTGCACACAATTACACAAAGCTTACAAAATGCCAAGCCTATACTAAGAGTGATCCATTAGCCTGCCAACGAGCCAAAAAGTCAGTACTTCATAATTCACCCATTAAACAGAATTGGATTATTCTCCAACTCCATCCTCTTTCTACTCCATGGACCCCCCCATCAAACCACCCGGCTCCTAGGATGGCCATTCCCTGAGCTGACAGCAGTACTTGCCAGACTATGGGAGGTAACTGGAGTTGGAGAATCCCTAAGCTTGTCTATTAGAGTTTGTGTTTGTGTAATTACATATACTTACTGCACATACTCAACTTGACTGGCAGATGGTTTTAGACAGTTATTTTACCACAAAAAGCACTTTTAAGAATATTTAAATCGAGAAATCAATGGTGTAGATTGCAAATATCATCAGTTTTATGAAAAGTGATGGCGAATTAAGAAAGTGCTCAAACTTGGGAGGGCTTCTCACCAGTCGGCCAGTCCGCTCACAGAACCCTGTTGCCCCACAGACCACTGCAGCCAAAGCAGCAGATGACTTCAGCAACATTTCTATATACTGTTCCATATTTAATCTGTTTAATTAAGCGCTGCTTTAGGTCAACTTTATAAGGTAACTTACAGAGCCAGAGACAAGTCGCCTCCTCAGCTCAGCAGCCTCCTCTTCTGCTTCTCGGTACAGTAGCTATTAATACTGCCTGCTCCATCTGTGATATTAATATTTACCTTAATTCTTTATTCCTCTATCAATCCAATTTTTAGTGCCCCTTTCTTCCTCCTTTTTTACATTAATTTGCCTGAAAATAATACTGGAAAATATTATATTCAGAGGTAATGTTAAATGTATATTAGTAAACAACAATTTTCATTCAATGGTAGCTTGAACCATAATGTTGAGATTAGTCTGGAGTAGCCAGACCTATCTCCACAGCCCTCTGTTGGAGCTTGTTGTGATCGATACAGCTAAGTGATACAGAGAAGACGTATGTTTGAATATACTCCAGTGGGAACAATCGGCATACTTAATCATTCATTTAGTAGGCAGTATGCAGTGTGAGTATGAGTATATAGTGGGAAGTACGTAGTTTATAATTTCCAACACAGCCAATGTCTTCCTGTCTCTCTTTATACACACAAGCATGCACACACACACACACACACACACACACACACACACACACACACACACACACACACACACACACACACACACACACACACACACACACACACACAGAAACCTTCCTCCCAATCTGATGACTGAGGCAGTCAGACAAAGACTTGGTCATTAGCTGTTACCCAATACCCCTTCACATCATCAAAGGCTGAATCTAGACTGTAACTGGGAAATAGATATACTTGTGTACTTGTGAGCATTCATGCAGAATCACCTTACTCTGAATAACAGAATGAATGAATAAGTGAACAGATTAATTAATCAACGATCAAAAAGGTGGAGTCCAGAAAGAATGAATGAATAAATAGAAGATGGGAAGATAATTGAATGAATTCATAGATGGATGGAATCAATGAGTGAATGATCTCAGCAGGCCTGTTGTGTCCCTCAGTGAGCAGATGCAGGAAGGAATCTCCCCCAGATGGACGATGATGATGATGATGGGCATTAGCACCATCCATTAGGGAAAGCAAGAGGGCAGGGAGAGAGGAGATGAGAGGAAAGGAGAGGAGGAGTTACATCTCTGAAGAAAGAATCAAAATGCAAGGTATCCAGTGCATTGTTCGTCAGGTACAATATGATGAGAAAAAACTGAATGAAAGGAGAATTGAAAAGTGTGATAGGATATGAGCGAGGAGGAGGGCTTAGTGATGAAAGTGATGAGTGACACAGCCAGACAGCAATGTCTCCTGGGGGATCTTGAGTCATAAGCACATTATCCATCCATCTGTCTGTGAATACCCCTCTACGGCTTTTCTCTCTTTCTTTTCATCCTATCTGCCCCTCACTTCTATCTCATCCATAGCTCACTCTTCCTGTTTGCTTCGCTCACAGTATCTCCCTTCTCAGGTTACAGAGACACAATGCTGAAGTGTACTTATAATAGAATAGAATAGAATAATCCCACTAACTCCCCAGCATGGTGATGTCACAAGCGTAAATGATACATACACAAATATAAAGAAACACTAAGGACCCTGAAGCTCTGAAATCGAGGATTTCCAGAAGAGTTGCTTCTAAATGATCAGGGATGGATTACAGCCAAATGTCTGTTCATTTCAAATGTCAAACACTTGGACAAAGCCTTCATACACACCTAATCCCCATTAATCCCATAAACATGTTTTCCTTCCTAAGTGGCTTTGATTGACTATACTGATGAAGTACAAGCCTATTCGTCAGCTCTGGTAAAACAGTGTTGAGACCGCACATCAATTCCTGTTTTGCAACCACAGCGTTCAAGATAAGAGATCAAGACAGGAAATGTCGGCAGATTATCTTTTTAAAGGTGTAACATTAGAGGCTGCTGGGGTTATTATACTGTACTTCCCTCTCACATCAATCACAAAACACATCGCATTTCTCAACCTTACACTTGTCATGGCTATACTTCATGCATTTTGCAATTACTTTTGTTTTCTCCTCATGGAAACATAGGATTTAAATCATTTTCTACACTTGTAGTCATTGTTATCCATTTTGGATGTGACAGAATTTGGTAAGGAAGGCTTGTGACTAGAATGACTCTAGAGTGAACCCTGCGGTTATCTCTGGGACATCCTTTGTCTGCTAAACAGCGTTGGAGAAACACACATTTTTAAGATAAAGGCACTTTATTCATACATTACTGGTTTTAATCGCCAGGTCCATTTGTTTTGGAGAGGAGCACACCTCTGTGGACGATTCAGCTCCCAGTAAAAAACCTCCTCAAAGATGAACACTGAAGGACTCCTAACCAAGAGAAGATGACTGTAGTGATGGCAATGGCGGTGAAGACAACAACTCTCATGATCCCACACTACAGCACAAATTACATACTGTACGTTTAAGTTCAGCTCACTGACCTGACCAGATAACAAAATGTTATGCCGTTGGTTATCAGCTCTAGTTTGTTTAGAATTCACACTGACTTGTTACAAACAGGAGTCATGCTGTACTTTACAACACCGTATGCATTTTCTCTGGCTGTCACAAAAAGAGAAAAAAAAGGTGGTACTGATCAGTATTAGTCTGCAACTGAACCTCATACGTGATAAATAATGATGGACAGCTACAGTAGAAACAAGATGAAAAACGGGACATCTTGTACCATAGTCGTGGGAAGTGATAGCTGTTTTATTGAGAAACTGCCATTACACACAGAGTAGGACACAAGCACAACACACCTCTGATTTATTTGCTTTTCTCTTTCTGATGTATCAGGAAAAATCTCTGCACTTGTGCTTACATATATGTTACCAAAGCTACCAAATCATCTTTCATAATTGGTTAACATAATAATAATGATAATGATAATGGTTTCCTTATATAGATCGTTTACAAGATTTATCCCTTGACAGTTTCCACAATCAACACATGGATTATGTAAATTGGAACAGTTTAGCACTGAAATCAGAAATGAACAACACCAGAAATCACAGATTGAGACCATCCATTTCAAGGGGTATCATTCCATCCATCCAGAGTTTGGAGCAGCCTAAATCAGACAAAATAGGAAAACGCACCATTGTTCAACACAAAAAGGTTTAGGTGTGACACAAACTAATACTCCTGTGCAACACTACTGTCATTCAACTACTGCACAGCTGTAAGGTGTGTTAATGTGTGTATGTCCTCAGAAAAGGGTGAAGGGTTGATGTTATATAATAATTATATTCTTAATTATTCTGCGCCATAGTTGTAAAACATATGTAGAAAAAACATACCTTGTGGTTTAATCCAGTGGTTCCTGACCATTTGGCTTGAATCAAGCATGTGTCAACCAGTTCAACTAAAGAATGATTTTTCTTTCCATACTTGGTTTAAAATAGTTTTTCTTAAGTAGTTAAACAAGTTAAACATTTAACCATCACTCCAACATTTCTCTAAAGCTTCTACAGCTACAGCATGTTCTGCCAGGTACTTGCACTACCCAGTGACCTGGATGTTGTCACTGGCACAGTTACAACACAGCATCAATCTGGCACTGTGGGGACAGGTGTAAGAAATATCTTCAAGTCTACTGAATCAGCTCTAAAGGTTTAATGTAAATTGGGAATGAAAAATCTTCATTTTCACACTGGTCCTTCCTTTACATTACATTTGTTTTCTCTTCTTTTCTCATGAATGTTTTGCAGCCACGATTCCACTATTCACCATGCAATCCCTCCCTCTCTGTCTATTAGATTATTGTTCAACTGCGGGAGGAATCAGATTTCTCACGTGTTTCTCTGTTTCTCTGTGCCTCTAACACAACTGCAAAATGGAATTTAAAGAATCATTTCATACAGTGCATTATATTATTTTTGTGAATCATTTCCAACATAACCTATCAATTACTTTGTAATAAAAGGCTGAAATCTGTATAGATTCTATCAAATCTATTTTAGGTTTGAATGAGCCAGACAACCTCTACAGACCTGGGATGTTCATTTTTCGTATTTGTTTCATGGTGCTCATGGGTGTGTTACAGTATTGTGTCCACACCCACTCCCACCCACAGTTGGGACAGCTCTATAGTGCTGCCAAGGGAAGATCATTTCACTTTGAAATTCACCATTTTTGCCATACTATATGACAGTATGAACACATTTTATCACAATGACTCAGTCAATAACCAAATTTGCAGTTATAAACCATCAATAGTCAAAAATATTATTTAATATAATTGTGGTTAAGTGCTTTGAAGGTTTTAATTGGCATTGACATTAGCGGGGGGTGGTCTTTAATTTCAGGCGAGGTGGCATGTGTCCATTATAATACACTGCAGGAAACCCTAATGTCACCTCCCAGCAGTGAGGTGTTTTTAGGATGGATTTTTCTTTTAATGCTGAAGCTGGGGTTGGGCAGGGTAACAACAACTGCAGAGAAATACACACTGTGACACAAGCTGACTGATGGGGCTGCAGCAGCACTTAAAGATTATCCCACACTGCCCACACTTAAGCTCTCTTTTGTACATTCACTCATTCACTTTGTCATCTCTTCTCTCTCTATCCTTACTTCTCTTTTTGCATTTCAAACATATTGAAAGTGCACAAAAGATTTTGAATACCTGCTTTTTCTATTAAACAATCTAACCAAGTGAATTCAGGTAAAAACTATTGAGTCGCACATAAAACATGCACACTTTCATAAAGGAATAATGTGGTATAATTTACACTAAATCGATGTAGTATATTCTAGCCATACCCTTACAGTTTACTATGTTTTAACATATTCACATAATTATTATGTTTTGGACAATGTTCTTATAATAATCACGCTAGTAATAACTTATAGTATGTGCTGTACAAAGAGCAGCGAGTATATGTACCAGACATGTCCACCAATACCAATGAGATCTCTAAAGTTTCTGTTCACCACTGAGAGTCATCAGCCTCTAGACCAGGGGTCACAAACTGCTGGCCTTGGGGCTGTTTCCGGCCCTCCATTCATCTCCCTCCGGTCCATGATATGATGGCAAACAAAAGATGTATTTTTGGCAAAGGTCAAAGGTGCACACCACAGTGGTTAAAAGAGAGCAGGTTTTAAGCTTTCATCTGGAGATAAAAACAGCTAATTCTAAGGTAACAAAAACACAGCAATTTTTATTTTTAGTTGAATATACACTAAACATACCTATGAATATTATATTCCATTTCTGCCAATAGAGCCTCCTTATTGTTACACACTTACACACCTTTAACTGTTTCAGTGTTTATCCAAAACCATGACAGTAAAACCTGACAAAGTTTTTTAGTAGCCTAAGCTCACATGTCACAAAGTCTTGTTTTGTGCTTTATTCATCCATTCATCCAGCCAGACATGCTCTCTGCTTCTCTGTAATACAGGTATGTCAAACTGTCTGAATTAAAAAAAGTGAACACACTCCAAGCTGTAAGCATATGCTGGAACATGCATTACTTACATGATACACAACTTTTGCATAATGCTCTGAATGCACACACACTAACACACAGAGCAGGCAAATGGGATTACAGAGTGTGTCTGCAGGCTGTGACAGGGAGTTTGTGCGTCACTCCCGCTGAGCCAGATTAGACTGAGCTTCACAGCAACCTTACAGGTCTGTTTAGGGTAACAGTCTGGCTGAAACTATAACACAGACACTGTCTGTCTCTGGTTCACTACTTACTTCCCTCACTTTGTCTGTCCATCTCATTCTCGCCTTATCCCACACTTTCTTAATCCTCTAATCTTGTCATCTTTCTTTTTGTGCACACATACAAACAAAATCTGTTTCACATTACCGACTTAGAAAGACTGACACACACACACACACACACACACACACACACACACACACACACACACACACACACACACACCTGCTCTCTGCCCTATGTATCAGGGCTCCATGTAGGCGCCAGTTACTGTCCCGCTCTGCTTTCTGTCCGTCCATCGTTCTGCTGAAGAGGACCAGTGTGATGTGTCTTCATCTCCTGAGGACAAACACAACATCAGAATTAAGAGTTCAGAATATGCTGTGGGACATTTGAGATTGCTGTAGTCTGAACCACAGTCAGAATCATTTCACATAGTCAGACAGATTGATGGATGGACAAGTACACAAACAGACAGATAGAAAAATAGATAGAGGCAGGAGTATCAGCATCAGTATTATAAATCAATGACAGTTCCATGCACCACATATGATTTTCATCTAAAAAGGATGGAAAGCTATGAATAGGGGAGTGAACAATGGAGGGTTTAGCCTCTCTCTTCATTCACATGTGCTAATCAAACACTCATCAAGCAATCATTGCAGGGAGCGAGGGAAAATGGAAAGAAGAGAGGGAGAGGAGCAGGGATGAGAGGAGCAAGAGAGAAAATTAGTAGAGGAAAAAGACAAGTGGTTAAAAAATGAGCACTCTGTCACCAGATGACGGAAGAGAGAAAGGTCAGAAAAGAGGAAATGAAGGAGGGAGGAAAACAGGGAAGACAGTGAAGTGAGTTGAGGGACGAGAGGAGGAAGACGGAGAGACAGACGAGGCGAAAAAGACAGCAGGGCTCCATCGCAGCAGGATGGGCCTGCCTGGGCTGCTTGTGCTGTTTGTGGAGTTCCACTTGCCCCTGCTCTGCTCCAAACACCATCCATATTTAATGAGGCCCTTACAAAGCCCTGGGAAAAGAGATGCTGGGAACTCTTCTCTCCCTCATCCCCTCCCACCTCCGCCTTCCCCGCCACTCAAATTGTCACCCCTCAGTACTTCCCTCTTTCATAATTCTCCCTCCGCTCACTCTTTCCTGTTGTCTTTTCCTGCTGTTCTGAATCTCTCTTTTCTGATTACTCTTCAGTTATTTTTAAAGATTGTTTCCTCCAGCTCCTCCGAGTCTTCAACTCCTCCCAAAGTATTACATGCTGTTAAGCAAGCACACATCGCTAGCCTATTAGCGCAGCATGTGGCTGCCAGTGGAGTGCTTAATTTTAGTCCTGCGCATTTCAAACAGAATGACTGCTTCATCTTTTCGTAAAAACAGAGTTGGGCAGAATAAATCAGCTGTGTTCTCTCAGCCACAAAGAAACAGCATGCACGTGTGCTGCCATTCTCTTTTTCTCTATTGCACCCACTCACATTCAAAAACAAATTGAGGCACATGCTCTTTGTGATCGTGCATGTGTGTGTCTATGTGCAACAATGTGTTTGATTTTATGAGTGTATGTATGTTTTTATTATGTGAGTGAGTGCTTGGAGGTTGTGTATGTGTGCATGTGTGTGTGCGCGTTAGTCAGAGTGCTGCGTGCATCAATAATGTATCTAGATAATGCAGCCGCTTCACTCTACCAGGAACAACTAACAGGCATACCAACGCAGACCCGAAGACAGAGAATGAGGGGAGAGAGAGAGAGAGAGAGAGAGAGACAGACAGACAGAGGCAGAGAGAGGGAGAAAACACATGAGGTAGCAGAGAGGAAAGATGAGAAAGGGAAATGTGAGCGATATAAAAATGGAGCAAGAAGTTGAGGGTATGATGGGTAGGGAAACCAAAAGAACATTAAAGAACATATATGTCACCCCTGGTTGTCAAATATTATATGGGATCAATGTGTATATTTGAACCCACTTAGAGTGAACATGGTTTATACCAGAAGCTAATTTAGGTATTGTCAGTAACAGTCATTGTATTGGGATGTAGAAATCCAATCTAGAGCCAGAACCCACTATTTAAACAGTGTGGGAATTTATCTGATATTTTGCATATGCAGTAATGACTGCAATTTTATTTTAATCCATAACACAAAAAACCTTGTGAAAAGTAAAGTAAATTATAAATGTTTGTATATTATTCATACTGGGGGTAACGGGGGAATGTGCGTCTAACTTATTTGACAATAACAATTTCCAAATATTTCAAGTTAGAATCTGTTCTGATTAACAGGACATATGACTTCTGCAAGAACCTACATGTCACTGTGTGAACTCTGTTAGGATGTGTTCAGATCACTACCTACACAGTGTTTTTGTTATGTTTTTCACTCAGAGACCCTCCTTACTGATTTGTCCACCATTGTTATTTGCAGCAGTAGTCATCAGCCAATGGCAAAAGTTTCAGCTCAGGAACACCCCAATACACCACACTCACACTAAGATGCATGTAAAAGCAGTTTTTCCGCAATAGTAGGACTACAGTTTAAAAGGTGAAGAACTACTGTAAAAACATGGCAGCTCAACATGGCGGTCTCTGTGGAAGGTATGTTTGTAAATATAAAATGCTATATATATAAAAGGCTCATTCTGAGGTAACGAAAACACAACAATTGTTTCAGGCACACTAATGACAACACAGTGATGCAGATTAAATTCCATTTCTGCTAATCGATCGTCCTAAATGTTACACACTGGATAAATACACTCTCCTAAACCCCTTTCTTATAAAAACACTGTAAGTAATTGATTTTACTCTTGACTTTCTATTACACAAACATTTTGTCCACTTCTGAAAGCATGAGAATTAGAAATGAAATTTTAGAGAGACTCAGCATAAAGTGATCTGCTCCCAATGAAAACCCTGTTTTCTATTCCTTTGATTAGACCTCAGGTCAGTTGGAAGTTGAGTGGAGGTATATTGTAAATTATATAATGTCCCTAAACTCTATCTGCTAATAAGAACGCTGTGAGTTGTCCTGACAGGTGCAACAACACTAACAGGATAGTGAGAGATGCCCACACAGTCCTGAGAGGAGCTCTAATCAGGCATCATAAGTGAACACACCTGTGTGGGTGGATCCTGTACAGTTGGCATGAAGGGGCTTTAATGCTGCATTAAGAAGCTCCAGATTAAAACCAGAGGTAACTATAGAGTTTTATCTGTAATGCCCAGAGACCAATGTATCATCTGTAAACTGACCACACTACTGTTATGTTTACCAACTCAACTTTTTGTGACTGCTTCAGGATATATGCCTCTCCAGGTCAGTACTGGTCTAGAGAGTGAGGTTGCCTGTTCTGGATGTTTCCCCCACTGATAATTCCTGTTGAAAGGCAGTCTTTAACTGCAATTTCAATATTACTCAACACATAAACACAGGAGTGTCCTAGATCATTTGATAATATCAGAAGGTTAGCTTTGTGGATGTTTTAAGTTGCTTTTTCAAAAATAATGTTTGGTATGTGTAGAATAATAAACCGATCAGCCATAACATTCTGATCACCTGGGCTCTGCACTGTGTGTTCTGACCCATTTCTATCAGAACCAGCATTAAGTGTTTCAGCAGTTTGAGCTACAGTAGCTCGTATGTTGGATCGGACCACACGGGCCAGCCTTCACTCCCCACGTACATCAATGAGCCTTGGCCCCCTGTGACCCTGTCTCTGTTTCTTTTCCTTCCTTGGACCCCTTTTGACACCATTGCAGCCCGGGAACACCCCACAAGAGCTGCAGTTCTCTTCATGTACAACATCGTTCTAGGGAAAGTGTCTACATTTGACAGCAAATGTAAAATTTGTGTGGAAAGATGTTTATGATTAGGTTAAACATGTTTTTTGCACTGCATGTGTCCCTTGTGTTTATGCTCTTGGTACACGTATTTTTTCACAAAGCTGTTACGTAACATGTCTTAATGTCTTTCATTAATTTTTGTTCTCCCGTCCGTTCACCTCTTGAACCTAAAGAATTATATGTTCACTCCTCTAAGGGCAGCAGAGAGGGGACCCAATCCAATTAGTAGCTAACACTGCAGTCAGACACAGACATACAAGCACACACACACACACACACACACACACACACACACACACACACACACACATACATACATACAAACAATCCCTGTAACCTAATGACCTTTCCAGGTAAATGCCAATCACTTAATTGACACAGACAGTAGGTGGCTGACACTGTATGCATGTATGTGTCTCTTAAGTCACACATGCTAATAGGTGAATTACAGTTCATGCCATCTACATTAACGTTATTTGTTATTTCTCTTAAGGTCAAAGTTAAGATATTTCTCACAAATGTAGGTTTTGTCTGCAGTGCCAGATGGAATGATGGTTTAAATGATAAGTTGCCTTCCTCTCAGTTGATTCATATTTCATTGCAATTTATAATGAGTGTTTAGTCTCAGGGAGCAGACGGTTGGCTTTGATTCAGGGAACACATTTATCTTCCATCTCCACTCCGTCAATAAGGTAAATGGGTGTTTACGGCAAATATGAAAATAGGATCCGAGGTAACACCAGTGGTATACTATTTATTCATGTGTATTCAACATTGCAAACGTTGTTTTTATTTATTCAGTTCACAAATACTTTTGTTAAATCGATGAATGGCTACAGCTTTAGATCTCCACTCAGTTCCTGTTATAGATATCTGTCTAATACTGAGACATAGGTGTGTAACATTTAGGAGGGTCTATTGGCAGAAATGGACTATAATATGCATAACTATGCTTTCATTAGTGTATAGTTACTTGAATATGATAATTGTTTTTTAGAATGTTTTTTGTTACCTTAGAATGAACCGTTTTTATCTACAGATGATGCAGTTGACATTTGTGGAGGCTGGCATGTTGAACCGCCATGTTTCTACAGAATGGACAAACCAAACGCGGGTTTCCCGTTTCTTGCGGCCACCATATTTTATGCTATCCCTTTCTTCTAAGGGGTAGGGCTGTGTATTGACAGGAATCTGGGGATATGGAGCAATTTAATCTTAAAAAATCCCATTTTAGCAATACTGTCACAGTATGAAGAACACACCACCATATGAATAAAATCTGAGTTTATATGCAACCAGAACAGAGGGGTCTGCATTTGTATTCATCACAGTCGCTGTAACATCCAACATCATATTCCTCAGTTTACGTTTACAACACTGCTATCTAACGGTTGGGCATACGATATTCTTCGATATTTTCTCACACCCCTAGAAGGGGAGGGTGAAGTAAGGGAGTACTACATTGCTAGATTCTACACACTGGTCCTTTAATTTGTCTTCTGCCAACTACACAACTACTTACTGGAACCAGACCAGTAGAGAACAGAGGTGAGTTTGCTAGCACTGGTTTGTCCTCATGTCCACTGGCTGTAGCTGTGTAACTTTTAAGGCTGCAACAAACAATTCTTTTCATTATCAATTAATCTGTTGACCATTTTCTTAAGTAATTTGTTCTTTGGTCCAATGTGAAAAATATTGATCCCAAAACTCATTGTGACATCCTCAAATGTCTTGTTTTGTCCACAACCCAAAGATATTGAGTTTACGGTCATAGTCAAGACCAGTCAAGAAACCAAAAACTCACATTTAATTATTTGTTTCTTCTCAAAATGATGAATCGATTATCAAAATAGTTGGTGATTCATTTAGTATTTGACTAATCAAATATTATACATCATATCATAACGGTTTCCTGCCAATTTATGATCAGTGTGGTAAAAGATACTTGGTGGCTGTACTTTATTTGTTTAAATAGCCTAACTACAGCATCAGCATACCATCTTACCTTTATGTTGTATCTTTGTGTATTGGAAAAAAGAAAATTGTAACATTCCGTCTCTTGTTCCACAGACTTGACAATTTAATGTTAATTGCCTGTATAGTATAGTATTTGCAAGTGAATTTCACTTTTCGGAGAAGTGAGCTGGTTCAGCAAAAATAGACCCAGCATGTAATGAAAGTGTAAGTGAAAGAAAGAGGCGTGTGTGAGCTGCAAGTGAGACACTTCATTCACACATCCGGTGGACAGTGAGCTGGAACAGCAGTGGATCGTCTCCACAATGGAACATCTATACAGTATACTGTGGATACTCTGAGCATATGAGGCGTGCAGACAGACAACGGGACAATGACCAAATGAGTTCTACCAACAGTACAGTATGTGGGACCATACTGTAGCTTTACACATATCCAGGGGCAGAGCTAGAAGGGGTAAGGGAAAATTTTGAACCTGACCCTGTAAAGGCAAGGTTCTAGAATACTATACAAGGTTTCAGGGTGGGGTACCAAACCACATTAGGTGGGCGCACTTTTTTATTTTAGGTAATTCTTCTTCAGAATCCCAAAGAATGCACTGTGCAGAAACATCGATCTTTAGAGCTTAAAATAAAAAAAGACTGGCTCTGAGTGTATGGCTCCCCCCCCCCATTTATTGATGTCTGCCTGTAATCCTGCAACTCAGGAGAATAGGTGTGTCTCTTCCTTCACACCGTAGGTAGCTGGGAAATCCGAATGACACCCTGATGCATATCAGTTTTTATGGAAGTAAAATCTGAAGTAATAGAAAGTTTACTGAATCAGCAGGCAGGTATCAGTTTATTATCTGTCTCCGTTCAATAAGTACTGATGGATAGCTTCTGATGGGCCTACTGCCCTAAAAGCGCTTATAGAACTATTTTTGCTGTCGTTGGAAAACCCTTTAATCAGGAGTTTCAGATTGAAGCCAAACTGGCTGAAAGTGCTGTCTATATAGCAAAGCAGATTAGGGTTGACCTAAAACCTTTTAGACCTCATTAGAGAGGTTCCTCCTAACCAGTTTCTGATTCATCATCATCATGTCGTAATAAGTCAGGGGAATGTGTACCAGTTTTTGCTCTCTGGTAAGACTCCTTTGGCTCTAATTTTCTTCACATCCTCAAATGTTTTGTCAATCTTTTTAAAGGGATTCACCTCTTTCAATATTCAGGTTCCAAAAGTAGTCTAAGTATAGCTCAATTGGAGGTCAGGCGTAGGGGTTGAAAGTTCAACATGTAATTTCTTTGGTTTGGAGAAGTAACAATATTTGACTCTCCTTCTTGTTCTACCACTGGGTGTGAAGCTCTGAGGCTCTGACGGTGAATATGGAGCTGAGGGAGCTTTAGCATCAGAGACTAAAGCTGAACAGTGTCTGTTTGAGTGGATGAGTGCACAGTTTCATGTCTTGGTTTAAGAAAAGTAATACACCAATTAACTTTATTATTGCTATTAATCATGCGGTGCAATAGGGCTTTACAAGTATCTCCACACATTTGTATGTCTGAATGTTTGCAGGCTTGTGTGCACTGTATGTTTGCATGAACGCAGTTAGGTACAAAGAGGTTGACAGACACACCCCGAGTTTTCGCTCAGTATTAAACTTGACAAATACGAAGCATCAAAAATGTAGCCGAGCCTAAAAATAACGTCATAAATTAGTAAAGCATGGGAGAACCTTCAGAACGCAGCTGGCCTCATATTCTTCTTCTTCTGTTTCAATTCTGCACCGGATGTCATGGCTCGCTTTGTATTCATGTCTCTTCATGAAACACAGATGCATGTATAGACTGTACACACCCACTGATATGGGCACATACACCTAACATGCAGATAGAGTGGAGGCGCAAACACACACACACACACACAGACAGCAGGAGATTGTGCCACCTTACAATAGCATCAACACAGAGTGATGTGTTTCAGGAGGCTGAAGCATGATGCAGCAAAATATCTGGAGCGACATCTTACTGTCAAATGCATGTAGTAGTGTGTGTTTGAGTGTGTCTGTATGCTGTGTGTTTGTGGTTGCACTGATGCATTAGTAAAACACATTTTGATTTCACACAGACTACATACTGTTAGTCTGTTCATCAATTCTTTAGCAGTAGTTGAATAAGGAAAATGACTGAGTCATTTGCTTTAAGAAAGAGCCAGGGAATGCCTCAGTCTGTCTCTATCTATCCTGACTGAAGTGAAACATCTAGAGCACAAGGTCCACCCCCCTGATACCGCCCAGTGCTTTCTACACAATCCACCTCTCAGAGTGTTAAGCTTAAAAATCCCTCACATCAACCTGCCTCCTCCCCTTCATGTGCACCCCGCCTTCATCATACGACTTATGGATTTGAACAGGTACAGTCGTGAATGGGTGATAAGTTTCACCTGCCTCCCTCTGTTAGCTGGAGTACTTTTGGGTAGAGAATGTGTGTTATTTGTTCACTGACTGTAGGTTGTGAATTACAAGTCGTGGCGAGGCTTAAATAAAAAATGTGGAGGAGACTTTTCTCTCATTTAGGGGGTACACAGAGAAGTTAACCTGTCATGCTTGTTTTCTTTTTTTTCCTAATTGATAACCTATACACCGGATAACAGTGGGCCAATGTGGGATAATACAGGCTTGCTGAGCATCATTTTTGGAGGTTGTCTTCTTATATTATATCTTTCTCTCTTTCTTTTTTCCTTTTTACAACTGTGTGTCCGGCGCCTGTCGAGCCACACCGCCGTCATTTGCTTTGCTAGCTTGCAGCGAGGCATTGGAGGGGAAAAAAATTACCCTTTCTGTTGACAGAAATCTATTTTTGGCACTTTTATGTCTGGTTGCTATTCAGTCTAGTTTGCTGTGTAATAACAAGGTGATGTAAAGACCTTACCGAGTGGCGGGTATCTGCTCTCTAATCCCCTCCTGAGCGCAGGGCGAGCCGTCTCGACCGTCCTGGATGTGGAACAACTTCGAAAAGAGCCGCAAAAAAAAAAAAAAAAAAAAAAAAAGCCGCACCTTCCTCGGACAGTGAGAAATCAGTTAATCCGTATCACCTGGTGTATAGGCAGCACGAGCAACACGGCTCGAGATCCCGGTTAGAAAGCTGCGTTTGACAAAGTCCCAGAGCAGGTGAGCGCGCGAGATGCGGACTGGTGAGGCGCACGCGGCTTAGGCGGCGGTAATCTTCTCTCTCTCTCTCTCTCTCTCTCTCTCTCTCTCTCTCTCTCTCTCTCTCTCTCTCTATCTCTCTCTCTCTCTCTCTCTCTCTCGCTCTCTCTCTCGCTATCTCTATGTCTCTCTCTCCCTGTCTCGCTCTCTCTCTCTCACACACACACACACAAACGCATAAAGTTTTAATATAGCTGCTGCGGCCCTTACTTTGTTTCATAAAGAGAAAACAAACAGTGGGAACGGAGACTGAGCTGTTTACACACCTGCATCTCTATCACTTCATTTGTTGTGCTGCTTTGTATGTGCGCGTGCTGGCGTGCGTGCGTGCGTGAACGTGAAGAGCAGTGCCTGTACAAATATTGACCTAGCATTGGTATAGTAATAAATAACAAATATCACAGCAAACTTTACTTGACTATCTTGAACTGAAATAGCATACATGGTCAACTCACAAACATAGAAATGAACTAGATAGATAGATAGATAGATAGATAGATAGATAGATAGATAGAGAGAGCTAGATAGATAGATCGATCGTTAATTGGTCTCTGTCGCCTCCTACTGGTGCCAATGATTTACTGCTACTCGCAGCTCTCCACCACACTGTGCACAGTGTATTACTGTTTAAGTCTGGATTACCAAAGAGGAGATGGCCACACACCTCCAAGAACCCCAAAACCCTGTGGTTCACTCAGTGCCAGTTTATTTTTGTTAGTATTTTGTTCACACAGTGAAATTAAGTTGTGTTTCATCAAAGTACCACACATCTCTGTGTGAAGGTTGCTGTGTACACCAAGCATGCACATGTCCAACACTGTCGGCTATTCATTCACACTGCATTCACACGCAGCATCTGGGACTCAAATATGCAAAGACCTTTATGCAAGTATTGCACTGAATGCCCAGAGATGTCCTCATACAGGGTAATCTGCACATAAGTAAAAAACAGAGGAGAAAACCAAGATCCCTTCAAGCTTTTCAAGCATGGTTGTATGTCCAGTGTTCTCAGTGATTCAAGTCAAGTCAAATTTTATTAATGTAGCAAAACATCACAAGTCAGAATTTGCCTCAGTGGGATTTACACTCACACATTCAACACAACAGAAATAGCACAGGGTATGAAAGAGGATTTATATCTGTTAGTTTTGGCTAGTGGCTGTCTGAGGCGGGAACCAGAGGGCAGTAACTTAATTTCTAAGTTCAGGGGGCGGGTACAGTCTGACATGATGGATCCCGCCTTTTATAGCTACTGTTTGTTGTGCAGCTCTGAGAGTTTTGTCCCAGTGATTTGGTGCTAACTTTATTCACCATTGATAATAAGTTTTTTCTGTGTGAGGTTGAGGGAAGCATTCCAGCACATATTCTAAAAAAAATAAAAACTGACTCAATAAAAGATTTATAAGACGGTGTCATCAGCGATCTGTCAACCTGGATCTTGGCTAGCTTCCTCAGACACAAAAAACACTGCTGGCTTTTCTCAATCATCATATCTGTTCCTTTCAAAGATCAATTTATCAGTTATGTATGTATGTAAATAATCTGTAATCTCAACCTTATTTATAAAAGTGTTTCCAGGAGTTGGGTTGTGGCATCTCAAATCAGTGCACATGTTCTTGGTTTTTGTCACATTCAATTCTAAAAAAGGCTTCTTTACACCAGTTTAAAAAAACATTGTAAAGCAGGAGATAGGCTCACTATAACTGCGTCACCTGCAAACTTTACAATGTGATGGTTGTCCAAGTGGAACAATAGATTCATTGAGACTGAGACGGAGTCACTAATTGGATATAGGTAGCAGGTGCGAGGCCTGAACTAATCTGAGAATAAGCACTAACTGAAAGCTACAGCAAAACATTTGTTTTAAGTTTAGATTTAAAGATCTCAACAGATTGTTTTTACAAACCTATGGGGCTACTTGTCATACCATTTGCTTGAGTAGCCAAAAACGCATTTCTAGCTGGTTATTTATATAATTTACATCGCAATAAATATTGACCTATCATCATTATACAGTGTAAGGGTATATACCAGTGGTATATACATAATAACTGCTGGAAGTTTGTGTAAAACAAGCGATTTGTATGAATTATTATAGATTATTTCCTGTGAATATTGCAATTCTCTCTTTGTTGTTTAATTTTTAGCAATCATACATACTTAATATGCTCATTTTTTTGACAAATTCCGTGTTTTCTTCTCATTGTTCTATTAACTCTTTGGACGTTTTAACCTCATACTTTTCTAAGGCAGGATGAGGCTGTTTGGCAGAGAATAAAGGTTCTGTAGGCGTCCTAGTAGCTCACCCGGTAGAGCTGGTGTACTAAGGCTGACTCCTTGCTGCAGCGGCCAGGGGTTCAACCTGTGGCCCTTTGCTGCGTATCATCCCCTCTCTCTCCCCTGTTTCCTGTCACTCTACAGCTGTCACTATAACTTAAAGGTAATAAAAGCCTCTGAAATATATTAGAAAATAATAATAGTTAAAAAAATTAACAAAAGGCTGAGATATAGACCCACAGTTTATATGTTTAAACCTTTCTTACACCCCTCAGAATTAAGAAGCCTTCGCGACCCCTGTGAATTGTTGGCGACCCCTAGTGTGTGGGGATAGAGAGATATTGCCTGCCCTCGTCTATACTACACAGTAACAACATTGCAATTAGTTAGAAGGTTATGCATTAACATGTTTTTAAGGAATTTCTATTTATGATTGTGAGGAGAATTGTGTTGATACTAGTGGTGTTCAGTAATTGTTTTGATTACAGCAGTCCTCTCAGGAAAATGAAAATGTAACAAGAATCAAGATAATAGCTCAGTTACACATCTGGCCACAAGATGTCAGTGTTACACAACTATATTGCCACTTCCTCTCTCTCTCTCTCTCTCTCTCTCTCTCTCTTACACACACACACACACACACACACACACACACACACACACACACACACAGACATTCAGCTTCAGCACTTGTCCACCGTCCATGCTGCCTTTATTAATAATAATATCATAACCACACAGTCCACTTCCAGTCACAACTCGAGCCCCTTTATCCTCTCCAGGAAGCCCACACCGCCACGCACGTCTACTCTAATTTAACAGAGATTAGGAGAGGAAGCCCTTTTGTTGCTCTTGTTTCGACCCCCTTGCTTTGTGGTTGGTTTGATCTCTGTCCTTGGCCGTCAGCTGGTGGACAGAACTATTTTGGGTGGGTGCAAGGGGATTTTTTGGCCTGTTGATTGTACTGAGTCATAAGAATTGGCTCTACTTTTCAACTAAAGGAGGGAGACAGGCTGCAGTAGTAGAAGCATATTCCAGTACTAAAATGAAGGAAGAGATAGTATTTATCCACATAGATTGATGGAGGAAAGGGGAAATTTCAAAAAACAAAAACAAATTCAACACTAATCTTACAATACATAAAGAGAAAATTAGTCCACAAGAGAGGTGCGTGAAGACCTCTGTGTACTAGAGCACATACAGAAGAAAAGACACAAGATGAGTGTCAAATGTCATAATGTTCCTCATGTCCCCAGCTTTATGAAAACATGTTGTTTGCCTTTCTCATTTTTTGCGACATTAATTGAACACACCATCAGGACTGTTAACGAGAAATACATTCCTCCTCTTGACCGAATGTACCAAAGTTTCAAAGGAAAGTCCAACAAACTATTGTATTGACTACAGAACTGAGCGTATACACATTCTCATTGCTTCCTTTCCCGTTTCCTCTCTATATGGAGATGAAAAGATCTTTCATGTTGTTTCCTCTTGTTGCATTATTTATTGCCGTGTGGCGCTTTATTAGCTGGTTTCATCTCAGATTTCGCAGGCTGTTTTTGGGGAAGCCTTTGAAATGTGTTTCTGACTCCAAACAATCCTTTTCCCGCTTTCTCTCACTTGCTCCAGTCGCCTCCTCTCTCATGATAAAAAAACCCCTAGATTTTCAAAGTGAATTGAGCCACCCTCTGAAGCCAAAATCCATTCAATGCTGTCCTAAGGAAGGGAGATGTTGTTCTTGTTTCGTTGCTGACATGAAAGGAGAACAGAGGATCCTCTTTGTCATTAGCCTTATTAGCATCATTAGTGCAGTATGGATGAACTTCAAATGATTGGCTTGGAGTTATTTGTGTTACCATAGAAGCAACATGAGTACTATTTCATGTTCTGTGTTGGAGACTGTTGCATTGCGAATGAGGTGGATGCGTTTTTGAAGCTGATATGTTTCACATACAACCACTAGATGGTGGAGCTAGTCCTGATTCAGAATGAGACTGACTGGAAATGGAGAGTGGAGAATTGGAATTACTGGAAGATATTAGAGATTATGGGACATTTTAAACCAAATAATTGCAATTTAAAACAGGTCTGTTTCATTCCAGTTTTAATAAACATCCCCAAGCGATACACACACTTCGGAAATCCTTTAATGCGTGTTCAATATTCCATATACACTCACATACTGTCAGTGCCTTTCAGTAAAAGCTCAGGTAGGTTCAGAGTGAAACAAAGAAAGAGGACAAAGCCAGAAGCATCCAAATTTGCAGTCCAGTTATCACCAGCCTGCTATGGTAGGTTCCTGTTACATACCTGAAATGACTCAAAAGGGCACAACTGAACACTTAGGAATGGTTGTATGATTAGTACATCTCACTTGGCTGCCACATAACAATTGATAATGTTGTCATGGATATCATTGGTTTGGTGCAGAACAATAAAGAAACAATAAAGCTTCCACCCATGTTTCGATCTTCTCTGATTTAGTTCGACAGTCTTAATATGTTTGTGTGTACCTTGTCCATCTTGAATTGTGCAAAAAAGGCATTTCCTTGAAAGGTTCCCTCCTGCCCACTGGTGGTACGGTAAGTGCTATCTAACATCATTACAGGCAGAAAAAATATTCTATGTTTTTAAAGTAAAGTTTCTTTATAAACCAAGATGAAAAGGGTACCAGATGAAGACGTTATTGAAACCAAATGTAACTGTCAGTAGTGTGTCTAATGAATAAATGGATTAGACAGTTTTCTCTCATCAGGGAATGAATATATGCAGAGAAATATCTTACTGTAAATTACAATAAGGACAGAAAAATCTCCCATGGCTGG